AGGATAGAACTAAGGAACCAAGGAACCAAGGATAGAACCAAGGATAGAACCAAGGAAAGAACCAAGGATAGAACCAAGGATAGAACCAAGGAATCAAGGATAGAACCAAGGAACCAAGGATAGACCAAGGAACCAAGGAACCAAGGATAGAACCAAGGAACCAAGGATAGAACCAAGGAACCAAGGAACCAAGTAAAGAACCAAGGAACCAAAGATAGAACCAAGGATATAACCAAGGAACCAGGGAACCAAGGAACCGAGGATAGCACCAAGGAACCAAGGATAGAACCAAGGAACCAAGGAATCGAGGATAGAACCAAGGGACCAAGGAACGATGGATAGAACCTAGGAACCAAAGGATAGAACCAAGACACCAAGGAACGAAGGATAGAACCAAGGAACCAAGGATAGAACCAAGGAACCAAGGATAGAACCAAGGAACCAAGGAACCGAGGATAGAACCAAGGAACCAAGGATAGAACCAAGGAAACAAGGAGCCGAGGATAGAACCAAGGAACCAATGAACGAAGGATAGAACCAAGGAACCAACGAACCAATGATTCTACGCAAGATTCAGCAGGACCCCCCCCCCAAAAAAAAAGAATACTTCCATTTAAAAAGGGCACACGCGGTAACCTTGAAATTAAACCTTTATTTTAACAATGTAAAGGATATTGTCGTTTTTCTAGATGGAAAACTTTTTATTTAAATTAAATCCTTTTTTTACATAGATATTTTGTTTTGATGTTGATCCTAGGTCCAACTGCATTAACAATCCCAGTGTATCTTCCTTTCAGAGAACTTTGTTTACTTTCTATAGTTTAATGCATTGGGCACAATAGACATCTTGAAACATTTCTGTTCTTGGTTCAACTTCTACAGGAACCAGAAAAATTGTACATATCTTTCTTTACAGAAGATTATAATTTTCTGCAGACATCCATTAATGTATATTTTAATCTTAAAGTAATAATTTCTGTTTGTCTGTCGACGATCCTAACTCATGACCCCTTGACCGATTTGCCCCAAATTATGGTTTAGATTAATTTGACCTACAAAAATCATTTCCGTTTTCTTAGTTTCCAAGCAAAACATTTCCATATTAAAGCAAGAGAAAGGTGAAAATAAGAAATATTGATAACCTGGAATGTAGTGAAAAGACTATTTAGCAGCAAGTTTTCTTCTTTCTTTTCTTCTACCCTTAACATTGACCCAGATATTTTCATCTATCCATCTATCTATCTATCTATAGCATAATGATAAAAACATTTCTCCGGTAAAAACGGCGATCTATAAAAAGTCTTCCGAATTCTCTTGACCTTCAATATTTTTACTTTTATTCTAGATAGATAGATAGATAGATAGAAACACTACACTACACTACACTACACTACACTACACTACACTACACTACACTACACTACACTACACTACACTACACTACACTACACTACACTACACTACACTACACTACACTACACTACACTACACTACACTACACTACACTTACACTACACTACATTACACTTCACTACACTACACTACAATAAAAAAATTAAAACAAAATTTTATGATTTCTTTAACATTGATTAGTCCCTTAAGTTGTTAGTTCAAACGTGGAAATATGATTTGATAAATAATTGTTTTAACAAAAATTTGTACATTTTACTCATCCCACACACAACTAATGTACTCTAGAAGAAGCATTAACTCTTCTCAGTTATCTAATCTTTGTAATGCAATCTGAACACTTTACAAACGAAGCTTCAAGCAAGATTTATCATTTAATCGATAAACAAACAGAATAAATAAATTGTTTTATAAGCGGGTGTAAAACACGTTATTTCATTAGCAATTCATCCATTTTTACATCTGGAAGTAATAACTCGAACTTTTTATAATTTTTTTAATCTTTAGTTACGCATTTGCAACGTACACTATAATAGTACTATATGAACAATAACAAAGATTATATTTAGATCTTTAAATTTTCTTGTATTTTATTTTTAAACAATGGCCGAATATTTTAATATATTAAATATTTAATTTTATTGACGCCATTTTCAAAGTTACAATTTATATAATAAAGCACTTTGCTTATATATATATATATATGTATATTAGTATATTTCTTATACGACTCATATGTTTGTTAGCTATAGCTGCCCAAACGCTTGGCCAAATTGGCTGACAGTTTTTGAGGTAACATAGGCTAAAATATTTCGATTCAATATTTTTTTTTGATAAAAATTCGATGTTCTTTTATCTTTTAACAAAAACATCATCTATATATGTAAAGTTGTAATCTATGTTTGTTTGCTAGGATTGTCAGGACCAATTTGCCTCAAATTTTGATTGGATAACTCGGTAGAACCAAGGGAATGTTCTTGGCCTGGTTTACAAATTCTATTACTAGGTTGAGTGGGTTGAATTTTATAATAACAACTCCAGGCAAAGCTGGGTTCTCAAGCTAGTTTACATGCATAAAGGCCAGAACAGTGCCCAGCTAAAAAAATAATAAAGGATTTTGGAAATCTTTAATCATTGTATAATGTATAGCCTCTACTGCTGAATAAGTGTTGATGTTTAAATACATATAAATAAAACAACTATATACAGATCGAACACTAGATGTCGTCTTTTCAAGATTTAAGGGTTTTTCGTTCACAATAACCCTGAAGCCGAAGTTCAAAGGAGTCACGCGCAGGCGTGTTATAGTGGAGGTTTAGCCTCGGGGGGTGTAATTTATTTTTTTGCAGCCCCCTGAAAAACTGGTATTCAGAAAAAAAATTAAGTTTAAAATATAATTAATCCATCTGAAGGCTGACCACTAGTCATCTGAGTCTGACCATGGTTACCAATCATACCATTTTAAAATCTAGTAGGAAAAGAGAAACATCTTTTAAAAATATATTTTTTATTTTTTATCATATTATATTACATCATGACTAGATTACACTGGTGACATTATTATTTAAAGCTTTTTAACGATACCTAAATCTGTATATTGTGAGAGAAAATATGCCTCAAAACATTATTGATAAAAAATGTTCTCAAATTTCCCAATATAAATATTCGTTAACCAATAAATAGGTCCGATGGGTGATGTTTGCATCTACATTATACATATTAATGATGAAGATTGTTCAATCCATGGGTTAGAATAATAAAAATAAAAGAAATTTTGGTATTAAGCTATGGAAACTTGCAGCTGTTTTGAACCATTAAAAAATGGGTTAAAATAGCATTCGATTCAAATGAAATGGCCTTAGAATTAACAAAAGATAATTAAAAGCTTTAACAATACTGCCTCCAAATTCAAGAACTCGTGTTTAAAAAAAAATGTTTAAAACAATCCTCATTGGAAACCTAGTCCAGGAGGGAGTCCAGGACGTTGTGATATTGATAAGAAAAGTAAAAAGTCTGAATGTAAGTTTACTGTTTAAAAAAATAGAGCCTGCCTCTGGCTCTAGGGGGGAGGGCATAGGGGGGTGCATGTCTAGGGGGGCACAGGGTACCGACCCCCCCCCCCCTCAATACGTAACGTGTTACGCTGCTTTCTCTCTATAATATAATTCAACTCGGCATGCATGTAACTCCTTTGGGGTTCTGCCTCAGGGTTATTTTGAACGAAAACCCCTCTAAATCTTGTAAAGACGACATCAAGTGTTCTATCTGTATTATTAGTATTTTATGTTTGACTACCACTTTAAATTCTGGAAACAGTCTTCTTTACAAAATGTTTATTTAGACTTATACGTTTCTGTTGAATTTTATAAAAATGTGAAAATGTCAGATCTGGGGTCATTCTAATATTATTCTAAATTTAATTTAAAATTTTCTGCAGAGTAAAATAATCATTTCATAAAATGAATCTTAAACATCAATATTACAGTAAAATATTTGTAATCAGAAAAAGTTATGTTTCTCTTGAGTAAATTATATTTTTCAGAGGAAGTGATCTTTCTTGAAAGTAAATTATTTTTCTTAACGAAAAGTATCACTCAATTCTAATGCATATATAAGCGCACTATTATTTTCTTGTAAAATCATAAATATACTAAATAGAAATTATTTTTTTTTGAGAAATTATGTCTTTCAAGGAACAAGAAAGTGTTCTTTCCGGCTAGTGAATAGAATATCATTATTTTGATCCTCTTTTGATAATAGGGTAATTTGATCTAATTGAAAAAATTGCGAGAAAGAATGACCCCTTACATCAACAAAAACTAGCTTGGGGACGGTGGTATGTACCTGTGGTTCCATCGAGTTCCTGTATGCGGTAAAAGCCATGCAGTATGCAGTACCTTAGAAAGTTCCATTTTATTTCTATGAACTGTATAATTTTACGATTCTATCCTTTGCTACCTTAAAAACCATAAAATAAATATAATGATAAAAATTAGATAAATTTTAATCTACGAAAAGATACACACCCCCTGGTGTTGTTGACTATTTAAATGCGTGATTGCCGCTGAACATTCTTGGCATTGACAATTTGTTTAAGATTATGAACTTTTTGACAGCAGGAAACTCAGGAAACCCCGTAATTGCTTTAGTAAGAGACTTGACCTTGTTTGTTAATACTAATGGACCTCCTTCCGGGAATTTCCTAATATACTATTTTTGGACCCCCGCCCCCATCATATCTATCAATTTTGTACATGGATCTCATTTTGTAACACATGGATATTATTGGTCATATGCAGCGGCGCTCGGCCCCCTAGGCTGTCTTTGCTGCAGCTCTCGGCCCAGAAATTGGTTTAGCCTAATCTAACCCTAAAATAATAAAAAAATATAATAATGTTTTTTGCTGTAAATTAAGTGGGGTCATGTAATTGGTTTAGTTTTAAAACGAGCGTTTAACCTTAAAATTTAGATTCCAGACATTTTTAGATAAAAAAATCTCTAAAACACATAGAGCCTAAACTAGTAAGTAAGTCACACAAGTTAATGTGTTCATATTTATCATTAAACCTCATGTTCATTTATTTTATTAAATGTTGATTCTTTTCAGATATGGGAATAATGACTTAAAACAACCTGAGATTGTAATCATGAAGGCGAAAAACCGCTATCTCATACTTTTTTTCACACTTATTCTCTTTCTCTCCTTTCTGTATATTTTGATGAAGGTTCGAAAAAAAGTGACAAAAATTCAGCCTTTTCAACACAACACTTTTTTATCAATAGAGGATTTAGAGGAATTAGGTAAGTCCACAAAAGGCAAAAAAAGAGGCTTTTCATTATCATTATTTAATTTAGTAAAATTTATTAAATCTCAAAAATTTTTAAATAATTTTAATATAAAGCCTGTGTTTTGTGTTTTATATTTAACAAATCATTAGTGAAAGTTTAAAGGGACCATAAAAAACACGTATGGCATGTCTGATTCACAAGGGTTCATTACCCTTTAAACCTTTATCAGCAACAATAAGGATGACAATTTCCATCATTGCATTTGTAGCATAATTCCGCAAGTCGCTCATACAGAGAAACCATAATTGAAAATAAAATTGTAAATAAAGAACTAGGAAATATTTTATTTTATCCATAATTTGATAAAGGTTTTAAGGTTGCGTTCCTAATCGAATATGCCAGACTACAAATGTAGAAGGCCACTTGAATTAATTTTTTGGATTAATACTTTTTTATTTTATTTTTGTTTTGTTAAGAGTCCCGTGTGGACCAGGTGGAAGACATGAATCCTACCTTGTGCAGGATGGAGACATGCTTCAACTTTACTAGATGTAGTCAATCCTTTAAGGTTCGATTTATTTTCAAGGGTATATAGTTTATTGACACCTAATATTTTGTTCATATCGAGGAACACTCCTGAAGAGAGACTAAAATGATATAAAGCATATATAAACTTTCTTTATTCATGGCACAGACATTTTATTTTCATCTTATCTGAACATTCTTTAAAATTGGGTTGGGATTTTTTTTTAAAGTCATCACTGATATTCTACAACAATGTTTCACAAGAAAATGGCAATGAAATAGTTTCAAATTGTGTTCTAGTTCATCAGGTTTAGGTGGATAAAGGAAATGTAAGCGTAATTTCAAGTGACCCTTCATTCAAATATGGCAATGCCCGATTTACAACGGTAACTCTAAAATCTTCGTCTGATAAAGTATTGTTTCAATGAACTGTTCAATTTCATTTGCGTTTTCTTTGCAATATTGACTTGCGCATTTCTTGCCTATATGAAGCCATGGAGAAATATTTTCGGAATTAAACTCTTTTTGAGTCGGGAAAACGATGATATCTTCTACATTTTTTATCAGAAAAAGGTTTCAATGAAATTACGCTCATAGCCCCTTTAAGTAATCGTTAATGTTGATTAATGTTCTTGTGTTTAGAATCTAGTTTTTACACTGCGGAAGCAGACGAGGCTTGTCTCTTTGTTCTCTCCTTGGACACGCTAGACAGGAACAGAGAACAATATTTATTCGAATCTGAAAACTCTTGTACTGGATGTACATACCCCCAATCCTGATTGCTAAATCTCTGTATCCACTGTGAACACTTTTGATTTTCTGCTTAAGTCTCTTTTGAATATCCCTGCTTTATTCGAACCAATACGAGTTCTCTCACTGATTTTGCGCCAAAATTTTGAAATTTCACGGCTTCTGATTGGCTGTTCGGTTTCTAGAATTAACACCTGATTGGTTGCAGTGTAGACAATTTCCCGAACATTAACTTAAGATTAAATTAGTCCTAAGATTATTAAAAAGAGGAAATCAAGCATTGATTTCGATATCCATAATTTTTAAAGTTTAAAAGTTCCCAGCTCAGTTTTATTATTTCTTAAAAATGATTTTTCTAAAGCCCCCCCCCCCCTCTTTCATCCTAACTTTTAATTTATACCATTTTATTAGATAATAAAAACCTTAAGATTACTAGTTAAATCTTCTATATTACAAGAGGCGATATTAATGATATATTTCAAACCGTTTGTTTGTATCTATTGGAAAACATTGACTTAAATAATATTTTTATTTTGATAAAATCAAATTTTTTTGTTCCTGTTTTTAGAGATCCTTTGTCACAGGACTTTATTCGTAACATGCAGTTCAGGTAAGCTAGGCAATGCATGCCGCTGATTTTCATTCATTGGCATGCACTCAACTGGTATTAATTCATCCGGTATGCATTCCACTAAAATTAATTCCACTGACATACATTTCAATGCACTGGTTTATCAATATTTAGTGTTTATACTACTGGTATTAAATATACTTATAAAAGAACTTCAATGGTATGCACGGCAGTGGTATGCATCCTACCCTTTTGCAAACCAATGTTAAGCTTTCCTCTAGTGTCAAAAGATTGCAAACTATTTAGCCAAAAATTTTGCAAAACTTGTGTAAAATATCAATTTCATTTTTTTGACACAATACTATTCTTAAATACTTTAAATTCATATCTAGAAGCTTAAATGCTTGTCAAATCTATCCTTGTTTTATGCAATTCTTAATCTGATTTTATTAAATTAACAGAATTTCATGAAATGCTGCAAATTATCTATTCTTCTGCACTGTTTTAATCATATTTAATTGTGTTACAAAATGTGTTAAAAAAAATTTCTGAGATTTTTACCATTTTAATAAATTAAGAGTTGAAGCTTTGCCTTACTGGAATGGAGGAGAAAACCACTTAATCTTTAATCTTTACTCTGGCACCTGGCCCCACTATACTGAGGATCTAGGTAGGCCCAATAGTACATAGACTTTTTGTGTAGCAATATAAACAATTTAATAGCAGAGAACATAAGAGACAACAAATCAAAAAGTCTATAGGCGTATGGACAAGGAAGCAACAAGTCGAACATTGCCAACACTGAGTTCGAATTTAATGAATTCAAGCCGCGTCTCAAATCCGTCAAAAACCGGTTTAAATTGAGCTCCGGCTTAAATCTTGAAACATTGAATACATTTTTAAGTGGAACCAGCCATATTTAAGCCGCATCTTAATTTAAGCCGCGGCTCAAATTCTTTCAATTCGACCTCTGTATAATTATGTCTAATAAGATCTATTTTATAAAAACTAGGCTAATCCTGTTAAAGTTTTTAACTTTGAACTTTTAAACGTTCTAAAATGTTTGCGGATTTTTCTGTTGTAAAGTGCATTTTTAAACAGAATAAATTTCGACATTTCTTCCGGGAAAATTTTCCTACTTCGACAAGCCATAACCCTTCCTCTAGGTCATATAAATTGTCTCGACAAGCCTTAAACCTTCCTCTGGGTCATGTGTATTGTCTCGAAAAGACATAAACCTTCCCCATGTGTCATATGAATTGTCTCGACAAGCCATAAACCCTCCTCTGGGTCATGTTAATTGTCCCGACAAGCCATAAACCTTCCTCTGGGTCATGTGGATTGTCTCGACAAGACATAAACCTTCTTCTGGGTCATGTGAATTGTCTCGACAAGCCATAAACCTTCCTCTGGGTCATGTGGATTGTCTCGACAAGACATTAACCTTCTTCTGGGTCATGTGAATTGTCTCAAATTACGGAATCGATGGTTCAGCGGTTTTTACTTCATTGGATGCAAACGAACCAACAAACAGACAAGCAAAGTATATTTACATAAAGTTGTAATCACTGTTTGTCTGTTTGTTTGTTTGTCTGATCATAACTCAAGAACCGCTGGTCTGATTTGCCTCAAATTTAGTTTTGGGAACTTGGACTATCCACGGGAATGTTCTTAGTTTGGTTCTAAGATTCTAAGTTGAGTGGGTCGACTTCAATAGCGAAAATTTAGTTTCCCGGTAAAATCGTTCAAGTGCGGGTAAACGGCGGGAGTAACTTTTTGTAACCTGGGCAGCGTTGGGTTCCCAAGCTAGTATATATATAATATAGATGATAAAAAATGAATTGTTGGAATTTATTTTTATTTTCAGGATTTAATATTGGAAAGGCTATCCTGGCGAAAGCTAGTATTGCTGTAGAGAACTATAGACCTAGATTTGATATCTCACTTCCACTCTTTCATAGAACACATCCTGAAAAAGGTCAGTGAAAGGGACTGTAGACATGATTTTAAGTGACCCTCCATCTAAAGAGTGATGTGTCCGATTCACAACAATGATCTTGATTAAGGTATTCATGTTATTCTCTCTCAAATTGATCATTTTAATTTTTGGTTTTTGGGTCATTTGGTTACCTGAAATTTAAACAATAGTCCATTTCAACATTTTTTAAAAGCACCCTCCAATTTTGAAACTCATTATCCATATTTTACTTGTAGGTGGGGAGCCTGGTTTTGTGAAATCAACTAATTTTCCTGGAGTTCATAAATACTTCCTGGCATTTAAAGGTTAGTTTTTAAAGGATAGTTTTTAGGTTTTTTTTAAAAGATGGTTTAAAAGAATAGTTTAAAAGAGTTAGTTACAAATGGTATGGTTTAGTTTTTAAAGATAGTTAAAGGTTAGTTTCTTAAGGTTATTTTTTTAAAGGTTAGGTCTGAAGTTCAGTTAAATTAAGGATTAATTATAAAGGGCATATATAAAGGGTAAGGCTAGTTATAAAAGTTAAGAGTTAAACGTTAGTTTTAAAGGTTAGTTAAAAAGGTTAGTGTCAAAAGTTAGTTCTATAGCATAGTTTTTAAGATTATGATTGAAGTTTTTTTTCTTATTTTTAAGGTTAGTTATAAAGGTTAGTTATAAAGGATGTTTAAATTAAAGATTAGTGTTAAAAGTTAGTTTTAAAGGTTAGTTTTAATAGTTATTTTAGTTTTAATGATTCGGTTTATAGGTTCTTTTTAATTTTATAGGTTTGTTCAAAAGATTAGTGTTAAAGCCTAGGTTAGGTCAAAGGTTATTTGTAAAGGGTATTTTTTTTAGCATTTTTGAGGTATTTCCCAGAGCCCGGGTGGGTTGATGGAAATGCATATTTTTAAATTTTTGTATTCTAGGTAAGAGATACGTGCATGGTATAGGGAGTGAGGTGAGGAACTCCTTGTACCACCTGCACAACGGGAAGGACGTGGCCCTGGTCACCACCTGTAAACATGGGAAAAACTGGAAGGAGATGCAGGACGACAGGAAACAATCAACTCGGGATAATTTGGCCGGTTTTGATTTTTCTTTCGAGACAATGAAAAATTCGTATTAAAAAAGTTCATTATACGCCATGTAATTTAACTCTTTTTTTTCTAGAAATATTGATATATAATTCTAATATGTAAAAACTTAATTTTATTGTTCTAGTCGCAGTGCGCGCCCCGATATTGTCACTTTTTAGCGTAAACAAAAGTATTGGCCGATGATTATAATTAGTGTCTTTGATTTTTAAAGTTACTAACTTCTGTTAATTTCTAATTAAATGTACATTGGACCCCGTCCCACCTACCTTAAACTTGAAAAGTAGATAGCTTTTATGAGGGGGGGGGGGCTGGGTGGTCAGAAAATTACAGAATTGTAATAAATTTAAGAATTGCAACATTTTTTACAGTCCTGAAAAATGCTTGGAGGATTATTTTTCCTTGAGCTGGTTGGATTGAAGATGTGAGATGGATAACGATGAATATGATAAATGGGATTACAATCAGCTTCTAGCAAACTCAACCTTCTGCCTGGTTCCCAGGGGTAGGAGGTTGGGCTCCTTCAGGTTCCTGGAGACTCTCCAGGTATATTCCTGACATAATGTGTATTTATTTTAAAGATACTATTAATTCCCCCCCCCCATTATCATTTAACCATAAAGCTAGCTTTAGGAAAAAAGGTCTGAACCTTTTTAAATATCATGATAGATATACATATATTCATATTAATATATATATACTTTGCTTGTTTTGTCTGTTTGTCTGTTTGTTTGTATCCAATAAACGTTCAATCGCTGAACCTATCGGGCCCAAATTTTTTGTGGAATCTCACTTGGCCCCAGGGAAGGTTTATGAATGATCACAATTTTTCAAAATTCTATTTTAGTTGAATTTTTGAAAATTTTGAAAATCCACAATTTTTTGTTAAATCCGAAAACTTTATTTTTTTACGTTTTTCAATGCTCACAATTTAAAGCGCCCTAAAAGCATAGTTTACAATAAAATAGTAATAAATGTAAAGAGCTGTTAAATCAAGTAATATGTATTAAACATATACAATATACATGTTTGTAGTACAAGCTGAACAGCCCGGCGCGGCGTTGCCCGTGGAAGAAAAAATAATTAAAAAGATAAATTCGATTTGTTTGAACCTATTTCAACCCCAGGCTACCTATGAGTGTCCACACAAAATTTCAGCCAATTCGGTCCAGCCGGTTGGCCGGCTTCACGGTACCGTAATGTTGATCCGCTCTACTGCCTATCCGTCCTATTGCCCATCCGCTATTCTGCACATCCGACCTACGACAGCTGTTTATTTTTGTATTATTTGAGGGCTAGTTTATAGGTTAAGAGAATTTCTGGGCCGAGCGCTGCGGCTAGGACAGGCTAGGGGGCTGGGCGCTGCGGCCAGAAGTCCATCTAGCAGCAGTAAAACCACGTGCTAGTAGGTCGGATTGGCAGTGGGACGGATGGGCGTAGGTCCAGAAATACACCATCATATATAGAAGATGTACTCAAAAAAATTTTGTTTGATTACTTTCATTTTCACAGTGGTATTAGCATAAAAAATCTTGCAATGGCACTGAAAATGATTTCTGTGCCCAAGCTTTTAAACTGTATGATATTAGGCCGGTTGTGTACCTGTCCTCCTATCCAACAGCTGGCAATTGCCCTTTGGTGAGGTCATAGATTGGACGTTAGCCACAATATCTATTGATGAACGTCAGCTGCTCCAGGTCCCAGAGATACTTAGGATGGTCAGCCAACCACAGGACAGTCAGAGATACACAATAACTGTGAAATGTGTTAAAAAAATGAGAAATTTATTTTTTTCTGTTTATCTTTTTTTAGAACAAAAATAAAATCTCGAGTTGGGAAATGGCTGATCAGCCCCATTTACCAGTCATTGGCTCCCCTTAAGCTTAAAAGATAATTTCTGTAAATTAAAAATCCCGTACCCTTATTTCGAACTTTTCTAAACAGTATCATTGTTGCAATTGAATTTAATTTATGGAGATTTGTATTTTGAAAGGAAAAGTTGTTTTTAACTTTCCCCCAATAGATCCGCAGATTCTGTTCCTGATCTAGGAATCCCGAAATGTTCCAGACCCTAAGAACTGGTTTTTATGCGATTGCCTCTGTCAAGAATTATTTTTCCCACACTAAGTAAATTATTTTGTTATAACTGTTGTTTATTCTCTGATAATTAGATTTTTAAACTTCGTCAACAGACCCAGATAGTCTGGGATCAATACCTCTCCAGTGTTCGAAGTATCATGTTAACAACATTGGAGATCATTAGACAGAGGATCAATCTTCATTCTGCCTCTTCTCTTCAAGGTAACTTTTCTTCATTCAGCTTCTTCTCTTTAAGGTAATCTTTCTTCATTCTGCCTCTTCTCTTCAAGGTAATCTTTCTTCATTCTGCCTCTTCTCTTCAAGGTAACTTTTCTTCATTCAGCTTCTTCTCTTCAAGGTAATCTTTCTTCATTCTGCCTCTTCTTCTCTTCAAGGTAATTTTTCTTCATTCTGCCTCTTCCCTTCAAGGTAATCAACTTTGTATATTAGTCCAGAGACCAAATTAAGGAGTCCGATGTTACTTTTTCAAACTATTAATTCTGTAAGATAAAATTGCCTAAGTTTGAAATATCAAAGGGTTACACAATCAGGATGCAAAGATAATGTGATTTGAATATTAGAATTTGTGGCAAGAACTCAATTCCTTTTCTAATCCCTTAATCTTAACCCAATGTTGAAGCCCGTTAATATTTCATTCTAAATATAGGACCCGCACAAATCTTGAATCACTGATTCAAGATAGGTGGTTGGACCGTCTCTAGACCTGGCTCAAAATTATTAAATCCGGTCCCTGGCCTTCATCAGAAGTGTGCCATCTTAGCTTCTCAGTAGTCCTATTCAACAATAATCTGAACAATGAATTGAAATTTTAGTTTGGAATTCCCGTCCTGGTATATTCTTTACTAAGAGGGAGGAGGATGAAGGATCGGATAGAGTCTGTATGGTTATTAGTACTGTCAGGTAATAACCTTATCAAATACAGGCATTCTATTCACCTAGAGCAGGAAACCTTTGCATTGTCAATATCAAGATCAATGCTTGATATCGATCTTTTGTTAATCTGTAGATTAAATGATTCATTATTCTATATTCCGCATTTTTATCGTACCAAGTCAAGGGGTTAAAGGGAGCTTTGATAAAGGACAGAATAACTAAAATGAAGATATGGAAAAGGGTAGTTTTTTTAATCTTTGAATTAAAAGTGAACACATTTGATATCGAGATCAAGTATCAAACACAAAAGTTCCCAGCGGAGAATTATCTTTTCTTCATAATATCTGTTATCTTTCGGATTACTAGTGTTTTGAGAGATCTTGTAAATTTTTCTAGCGGTTATTATTTTTTAAAATGCACGAATTTAAACAAAAATATCTTCGAAAACTTTGGACGATTAAATATGTTGAGTTTCTGAGCAACAGTTAAACGCTGATAGTGGCGCAAAGCGCCCTAAATTCTAGTTTTTTATATCTTATAAAGATTGTAATGCATTGTATTGTATTAATTGAATGCAACTTGAAATTAACTCAATCATTATTCGTTTATATTTCTACTTAATGCCTTGGATTGCTTTATCTTGACAAATTTTCTGAAACATGTCAAAATACTTCTGTTCATGATAATGTTGGGTTGTTCTTGACATTGCTGGGTGGGTTTGAGGAATAAATCCTGTTTCCATTGCAGTGAGACTCCTGTATCGAGTTCCAGATCTCCAATCCTGAGGATAATTCAATCAGCTTCTCAGACAGGGTTCATCAGAGAATCCTTAGTCCTTTGGAGCAGTAACTCAACCCCACCCCCTTTGGAGGACTGGTACAGGTAATATCTATCCTTTGGAGCAGTAACTCAACCCCACCCCCTTTGGAGGACTGGTACAGGTATACCAATCCTTTGGAGCAGTGACTCAACCCCACCCCCTTTGGAGGACTGGTACAGGTAATATCTATCCTTTGGAGCAGTAACTCAACCCCACCCCCTTTGGAGGACTGGTACAGGTATACCAATCCTTTGGAGCAGTGACTAAACGCCACCCCTTTTGGACGACTGTTAAAGGTAATATCTATCCTTTGGAGCAATAACTCAACCCCACCCCTTTTTGAGGACTGTTTCAGGTATACCAATCCTTTGGAGCAGTGACTAAACCACACCACTTTTGGACGACTGTTACAGGTAATATCTTTTCTTTGGAACAGTAAATTAACCCCCCCCCCTTTGGAGGACTGGTACAGGTAATATCTATCCTTTGGAGTAGTAACTCAGCACCACCCGTTACCGTTTTCGGTAATTTATACTAGGAGTCTTTTTTTCTGGTTCCAGAATTGTCACAGATTTTTTTTTTTAGTTTTGTCCCCTCTCAAAATATATTCTCAATTTTTGTTTGTTAGGATGAGGATTGGAAACCTTAATTGATGTTTTTAAAGAAATTCTTGGAATTTTGGGGTTCTTGAGTATAATGAGAAGGGGAGGGGCTGGCATCAAGCTCAAGGCAAGAAAATATTCGGTTCATGGAAGGCCTTCAAATTCATATTCCCATATGTGAGCCTTTTTGTTGTTCTTTGATTTAATGTGTTTTTTCTTCAGGTTTAGTTCTAGTAATCCAGGGAAACTAAATATTAGAATAATTCAAACTAATGGAACAAAATTGGACAAATTTAAGGTAAAATAGTTCATTGCTAATATTATATAATTAAATTATCGAAACATTTATTATGATTTATTTGCATTATTGAAGAATAGTTTTTTGATAATTTTAGGTTGTTAAATTGATGCATTGTTAGATAGTTTCTTATATTAATTGATTGACTGATAGAAATATTGATTGATTGATTAATTGATAGATTGATTAATTGATTGATTTTACAGGTAGCATCCCAATGTAAGAGTTCTACAGTATTTGTTTGATTGAGAAATTAATTGTTTTATTTGCTTAATTAATTGATTTATTTATTGGTTGGTTTATTGATTAATTATTAAGTTAATTAGTTTAATCTTTGATTGACATATTTATTATTTTTGTTAATAGGTTATTTGATTGATTGATTGATTGATTGATTGTATAGGTAGCATCCCAATGTAAGAGTTCTACAGTATTTGCTGTTGATGACGATATAACTATTGCCCGCGAAGAAATAGTATTTGCCTATACTGTGTTTAAGGTACTAACTATGGATAAATCATAATGAATTTGGTAAAATCTTTGCAAAACCGCCTGAACCCCCCCCCCCCATCCATCCTGGAAATCAAAAGCAACCATTAGTGACTATCCATCTTAACCTAAACTTACCCGTAATAGTATTTGTACATCTACACATATGAGGGTTCTCTCATATTTATTCACATCCATGAACTCTCTCTCTCTCTCTCTCTATCTCTCTCTATCTCTCTCTATTTCTCTCTATCTCTCTCTATCTCTATCTTGTAAATTTCCTACTGTATTATATCTTGTTTAAAATTCGGTGATGGTGATGGACCAAACCTCTGTAGAGTAAAACAGTAGATGTTAGTTCCACATTTAAAAAATATTTCGGTCTGGGTTGACCCTCATCAGTTCTAACGATATAATAACCATCAAAATCGAAAAAAAAAAAATTTAAAAATGTTAGTTAAAATCACAAGAAAATAAACAAACAAAAAAGATTATTCAAAATAAAAATTTGGACTGTCAAATGGACATAAGGGAAACGAACTCAGATTATGAGATGGAAAAAAGATAATTTGCAAATATACACTTTAAAAAAAAAATTATATCTTGTTAAGAATATTAGAGGAATTGTTAATCTTTTTCATAATACTTGATACTGGTTGTCAAACGGAGAGAAGTAAACAATTCATTCAATTATTAACAATTTTTTCTGGTTTTAAGCTTTAAAATTTAGGATTTCGATGATCGTTTGGTTGGATTTACTCCTCGTGTTCACTACTGGGACGGAGATACACAACGCTGGAAATATTCATCCAGACCTTCCAGTTCATTCAGGAATTCAACTAAATCAAATATTTTGATTGATTAATTGATGTTTGGTTTTTTTTTTAATTTATTGATTTATTGATTCCAACGTGAGTAACATTGAAACCTCATAAAACTGAGAAATATGAAGACCTAATGTCAATCTTAAGTTTACAAGGTTTCTCGTAAGGATGAGACTGTAAAGATGACCTACAACAATTTTAAGGTTAAATTAAGTCTTCTGCCTTAAATATAGTCTTTTTGTGGTCTTTTTAATGATTTTGTACAGAAAGATTTGTAAATGTAAGTAAGCAGACAGTATAAATTCAGTACAGTCGTCTCTGATGTCTCCTCCTTTGTGGGTAACCCTGTATTTGATGTTGTTATAAAGCAAATAGTTTTACCTTTATTTTAAAAATCAACTATGTGAATTGGACCTGAGTTCACTGTACAATTGTTGTGTTTCATGTTTATTGGATCATAAACATAAGTCTTACAAGTCTTCTTTCTATGTTCTACTTCTAGTTTACATCCTAGGTTAAATCATTGAAAAAATTTTCTAGGATACGTTGATTTAATTTCATACCTTTTCCATGTCTTTGTTTCATGACTGTAATATAATTGTTAAAATATTTTTTTAGATGTTCTTTTTTCAAGTTGGTTTAGCAGAATATATTGTAGTATAATCAACACGAACGCGGCATTATTTCACAAGAAGTACGCGGAAATTTTCCATTCATATCTTCCCCGGAAGATGATCAAGTTTCTTTCAGATTTTCCTCATTGTGAGGATATTCTCTTCAATTTCCTGATCTCACAAATCACCAAGGAAATATTTTGATTAGTGGGTCATGGGAGAGGGGGGGGGGGTTGACTGTTTTGTCACAATACTCCTTTTAAAATGCATTTGTCTTTTGTTTCATGTTGAGAATGGACAAAATGAATATATTCTGATAATCTTTTCATTTACAAACATTGTATGAATTGTAGCTAGCATTGATTTATAATGATTTCAATTTATAATTATACTTTTCCCGTTTATATATTTATCTTTGAATGGATCCTGTAAACCCGCAATATATTAAGATGTCGTCTTTGTTACAGCGAGGATTTCAAAGAAAAATATATATTTAATAGTAAAAACAAAAGAAAGCACAGGGGTTTTGGGATAATATAAATATATAAATAGTTTCTTACAGGCATATAGAAAAGATTTGGGGGCTCCAGCAGCACTCCAAATCCTTGATTTAGTCAGAATAGCGTGTTGACAAATTCTATTTTATAAATTTTCAGTGAAATAGCGGGTTTTCGGTCGAAATTCTTAACGAAAACATTACAATTAAACAACATAGAGACTTAAGTGCCCAAGCCTTATTTGACATGAATAAGAGGTTTATGGAATAAATTCATTTTACCCTAATGTGCCCCCCCCCCCCTCCTAACCCTGGACCCTCTGTAAATATCTTAGTGCAAGGCTGAGGAAATTAAGTTAAACTTTTTTCTTACCGGGAAACTGTTGAAATATTGCCAAAGATGTTCACTGCAAAATAAAAATGTACAATTTACAAATTTTACATTTTTATTTTTTCGTTATGTCCTGTAAACCTTGTTGTTTAGGAATTGATTTTAAGAAATGGGAAAACAAAACTGGTTATTTCGAATACAGGAGTTTTAATCAATTATTTAAGCAGAAGGCCCCGGTGAAAGTGACTCAACGAAAACGTTTATCCTCCAGTAAAATTGAGGACAGAGGTCGAATGATAAGAGAGTTTGATGAAAAACAGAGTTGTATGATGAGGTAAACATCTAAAAAAAATTTAAATATTATTTTTTGTAAACTGATATCAAAATTTTGCTTGTTTTAAACGTTTCAAAAAAGATTTTTATATAAATTGTCATGAAACAGAAATAGATTAAATGATGTACTCAAAACTAGAAACCCCTATGGTTGGAATTAGATTTTGAATGACATCCTCTTTTTAACATTTATTTTTAAATTTAAATTTTTTAAAACAAAATTTTAATTTGCAAGGATTTTTTTTCTCTGACTGTTGTATCTTCTTTTTAGGTGATCATCATCTGTTTTCTGTTCCTTTCTTTTAGATCTAAGCATTCTAATCCCTTGAAGACAAAGGAAAAATTCATTTTGACACATATTTCTGCTTTTCTTTCTCCCTAATATTACGCATATTAGTATGTGTTCCATGCATACTGCATAGGTGTCAAATATCTCTGACAAGTTATGTTGTGAATTGATGATGCAGCTTTTCATCCAGCTATTGTTATAATTATCATATATAAAAAAAAATATGACCTCCTTACATTTTAGATTTTTCGAAGATTTTGGTGAGATGGCTTTGGTTGTTAGTCAGGCACGGTTTGATCCGGTCCTTTTTAAGGTAGTTCTTTTTAATGATCTTTGATCAGAATTATCAAACCTTTTTATTTTATCCCATGATTTTCTGTTTAAAAATTACATCAATTTTTTTAGTACTTACTTTTGTGTTGTGTACCCCTAGATTAAACTGTTATCCATACATTTTGTCGCTTGGAGGATTTGATTTATTCTTATTGAATATCCCAGCAGGGATACACAAATTGATGGATAAAGAACTCATGCCTCAATATTTAAAGTTGTCACAGTGGATATCAGGATCAAGCATTATAGATTAGCACACAAATGTCGACCTCTGAACATGATGTAGATACTGAACTACAGTCCTATTCTAAAGAAACCTGAACAATATTAATTGATAGAAGATTTTAAAGTCGTCTTTGACCTTAGAAATAGTCTGCGGCATTAATTGTATCAATATTTCTTGATGAAACAATTATCACAGAAAGCCTTAGTCCTGCCATTTCCAAAACAAATAATTGAGATATAGATGATTTCGTTCAGAATTGACATTTTCATGGTTTTATTTAATAATAGAAATCTAAACAAAATTCTTAATATGTCTTGTACTTTTTAAAGCAAAAACATTTCAGACCACATTTTGTAAATGGTAGTAGTTGGGCTATCTTTTTATTATTGTTTCATAATAATATATCGCTAAAAGAAGGTTGCCTAAAATGAATGTCGAAAACTATTTTTAATGTCAAACACGGCATTGGAGTCGTCTGTAAATTAGTATTATTCCGCTTTACCGTTTATTTAGAATAGCACTGTTGTAAAAATTTGCCAAATTTTAGGATAATGTGTCGAATTTGAGAAAGAAGTATAGAAAAATTGAAACTCTTGACTAGCAGCTCCCTCGTTCAATTCATGAGCATTAAATAAAGAGCTTCTGGAAACCCTTGGTCGGGGATTCACTTATGTTTTATGTTAAAACAGATTTTAGCAAAAAAAAGAAAAATCAAAGTTATGATCTCAGCTTTGTAAAGCCTAAAACGTAAATAGGAAAAATTTAAAGTTTTTGTATATTTATGTATACAATGTATGTAATGTGTAACTTAAAGCATGCATTGACAACAATTAACGATAATTGATATTTATTCCTTGAGGAGTCTCAATGATCACTTTACATTTAACAGATATTAACAAATGTCTTCCTGTCTGCATTAAATAACGAATCAAAGCTAATGTAATTTAAATTCCATCTAAAGGAGGACCGCAAACTTTTTGCCATTCTTTGGTTTCTTTATTTACTTATCCAGTTTCAATTATTTTCGGACATAAATTTTGTTTTTTCCATTGTAAAATGACCTTTGTGGATTCTGAGACATTTTTTATTGTTCTCGCAACAGTTTTTTGCACTTGTCTTAACTCCTTAATTAAAAGTGAAAAAATTTAATAGTAAAAGACTGCACTTCAGGTCTGCCTTAGTAAAAATATTTCAAAAGGAGGATCTTCCTTATACCCTGTTTTTATTCTGATTTAGGTCTTTGATAGAAGGTTTAAAATTATTAATCGAGATTTTAGGATTGTGAATCAAATTTTTTTAATAATTTAAAAAATCTAACCAAAAATTACATATATATTATATATTTGTGTTTAGAAGTCAGGCGTGCAAATAAACATTCAGCAAGGGCAAAGATTTTTCATATAGAACGAACACTTTTTTCACCCCNCCCCCCCGCCCTAAACATTTTCAAGGGGGACCAGAAAAATGTGTATTATACTCAACAAAGAAAAAACTACCTTGCCAATTCAGGATATTTAGGAGGCAAATATGTGTGGGCCTTGCCCCTATTCCCCCCCCACCACCAACTAGTTGCGAGCCTGGTAGAAGTATATGCTTTAAAGAATTAACCTGCAGTATAAACAATATTTAAACTGCCATTTTCAATGATTTTTATAATTTTCATGAAAAACTTCCTGTCTATGCCATAAATAGTGCATGCATTAACTAACCCTGTGATATTTGAAATTTGTTAATTTATGAAATAAATAAATAAATTGGAATCATGAAAAAACGTTGATACGAATATGTTAATATTGATTGTAATGGAAAAGCTTGAAGTACATGGTTAATAATCATAATAAAAAAGAGAAAGCAAAAGGAGCAATAATGAAGAAATAAAAAAGAAGGAAGAGGCAAAGGAAAGCAAAGATAAAGAGATTTGAAAAAGAAATATAAAAGATGTGAAGTACAGAGTAAGCTCGTCAAAGAAATAAGAATAAAAAGAAAACTGGTAAAATAAAGGAAAAATAAAAAATATCAAAAAAGAAAAGTTACATCAAGATAAAACAAAGAAAACTAAAAAGAATAAGAATACAGATGAAAAGAATTTCAAAAGAAAGTAAAGAAGATTAATTTAAATATTATGTAAAAGAAAATCAAAGAGAATGAAAAGGTATCAACGTTTGAGCAAATAAAACTTAAAATGAAAGAGAAAAGAACAAAGAAGTTAGACTGTAGTTTGTAAAAAGAGAACAAAATTTATGAAAAAGAAAAGAAAGAGATATTTGTAGGGTATAAACAAGATATATAGGAGAATAAAAATACGTGGAGTAAAAATATGTGGAGTAAAAATGAAAAAAGTAAGTTTATTTAAAATAAAAAAAAGGATAAAAAATGCTTCCATGAAGGGTCAAAAATGATAAAATAATAAATAATTAATTAAGATACAGTAAATTAAATAATAAAGAAAATAAAAAATATGGAACGAAGATTTATATTAAAATAAGAAGAAAGTAATGAAATTGTAAATTTATTACAGAAAAATAGTAAAAGAATTTGACTAAAAAAATATTCAAAATAAAGAACAACTGACAGTTAGGAATTAGTAATCAAGATATAAAATAAAGAAAAGAGATAATGAAAAGAGATAATGAAATTGAAAATATGTTTAAAATAAAAAAAGAATCTAAAAAAGAATTGTGGTAATAAAAAGATGAACAGAGTTAAGTCTAATTGAGGAAGATTAAAAACAGAAAAAGGAATATACGGTATATATAGAAGTGTTTTCATAGGATCAAACGAAATTGAAAGTTTTTAGGATTATAATATAAATGGAGACAATTCTCTACATTTCAAACTTAACATATTTTGGGAAAACACACCAAAAAACTCTTTTTTATCGTCACGTACCATATAAGAAAATAAATAAGAAGCGTGACATTTTTTTATTTTTAAATATTAATACAAACGTGAAAATATGTATAGAAATTGAAAAAACTTTTTAAAGGGGCACGGATTGCCTGGAATAAATCTAATTGATGTGTTCCATTAATAAATGCAGTCTAGTCGTGCGTGAATTTTCTTGTAAAAAAAAAAATCTACAAAAACCTTGCACCCCCCCTTCTCGGGGTTGGTTTTGGTTCTAGGCGAATATTCCCCCTGAAGTTGTTTTCAACTTATCAAAATGGCGTCTCAAGGGAAAGTCGGCAAAATTTCTAAATAATAACAAACATTTATTTCATTCATCCATTTTTCATTAATTATTATCATTAATAAATCTTTATTGGTTCTAAGCGATACAACGAAAAAATTAACAGTAAAACAAAATCATAGGGTTTCGCGCATATAGTAAATTGTTTATATATATATCAGAAAATGTATATGTAGATTTTTAAAAAATTCTTGTTAAATTCGGTGTAAAGCGAAAAACAGAAAAGGACATATGAACAAAATAAAACGATCAGCATATAAGAGTACATCGGGGAAAGTTGTAAGCGAGATAGTTTGAATTTCTGAGATCTGGAGACAAAATGTAAAAGAAGCACATTCGAATAGGACTTTTTCATGTATAAGTGAAAAACACAAAGCATCAAAATAAACAGAAAAGTATAATTTCACCACAAATTAATTAGGCGTAAGCTTACATTGATCTGAAGATTTGATGTTAAAGATGCATATATATATTACGTACATTTAAATATGACTTTTTTACGTATCATCATATTTAAATAAAAACAATGATTAACATAGAATTCGATTTTTCGTGTTTTGAACGAACAACTAAAGAACATAAGTTCGTTTCACCAGAAAGTTATCAGCGTAAACTGGATTAAATTAAGCAAGGCAATTTAAGTTGTAAGATAGAATGCGGAAAATGTACATTGTACATATGTTCTGTTACATTTAAGTTAGACTTATTTTTATAACATTGGAAATTAAGAAGCGACACAAAGGAGAAAAACAGATTTAAACAACCCTCACCATTTTTCATTAATGGTGAGGGTTGTTTAACTCAAAACCTTTATGGTGCCCTAATATGATCTTACAGTACGGCATAACAGGAAAAATGATATTTCACATATATTATTTTTTTTATATTATAATATAATTTTGTCATTAGTTAAAGCAGAGGCCTAGTTGGGGGGGGGGTGGTACTCCNCTCTCACTCTGGGAGTACGCGGCCACAAACTCATCAGATCCGGAGAAGAAGGAACAACGAGATATGGTATTATTTTTATGCCCCCCCTCGACCCTAGGGGTGTAAATTTTCTTAGAAAATCAACCCCCCCACAAAATAAGCATTTTAAAAGGTGTAAAACTGGCATTTTGAAATCCAATTCTTCATGTTTTCCCCCAGAGCATAAAAAGTTTTTTTTCTCTCTTCTCGTTTTTTTATTGGAATTGTCAAAAAAATATAATCATTCATGATAGTTTTTGACCTATTAACCTAACCCCTTGGGCTATTGTTAGTTTTTGAACTAAATGTATGATGGCACTTGATGGTGAATATATGTTAGCATTTGATGGTGAATGTATGATGGCAGCTGATAGTGAATGTATGATGGGACTATATGGTAAATATATGGCAGATGTAATATTAAGAGAGCCTCCCCCATGGATGCCCCCCCTCAGCCTCTCAGGGGGGGCACGCGTAGAGGGGGGCGGGGGGGCGCGGCCCCCCCCTCGTACGCCCCTGGGAATGCTACTTTTAACCCGATTTTTATTGGTTCAAAACAGCTGCAAGTTTCCATAACTTAATACCAAAATTTCTTTTATTTTTATTATCTTAACCCATGGATTGAACAATCTTCATCATTAATATGTATAATGTAGATGCAAACATCACCAATCGGACCTATTTATTGGTTAAGGAATATTTATATTGGGAAATTTGAGAACATTTTTTATCAATAATGTTTTGGGACATATCTTCTCTTCCAGTGTAATCTAAACATGATATGATTTATATTGATATGATATATGATATATGATATACTCAAAAAAATTCTAATTTTTGAAAATTATAAAACTAATTAATATAGAAACCGTGAATACATAAATGTTAACAAGTACATTTCACGAAATATTGATAGTAAATATTCTGACATTAATATCTGTAAATATTTCAGACATAAAATGGCTTCTTTCTGGAGGCATATCTACTTTAGAGAAGCGCTGAAAAAAGATTTTCAAGAAAATTTTTGTGGAAAAAGTTTGAATGCAGAATTGAAGGAAAGTGCTCTATTGCAAGTAAATGTAAGTATATATAATAATAAAACTAGGCTTTTAGGGTGCTTCGCGCCCATTTTCTCTTTCAACTTTGAATTGTGACTATCGGTGAGTATTTTCGCATCGTAAATATAAAACAATATTAAGAAAAAGCGGATTTTATCTTGAAATTTCGAGCCTCCATCAACCTTACCTGGGGTGCAAGTTGCCTCGAAAATTTTGAACCCGATCGGTTCAGTCGTTTCTACGTGTATTTGATACAAACAATCAAACAAACAGAGAGACAAGCAATGTATATCTACTAGGCGTTTAGGGCGCTTCGCGTCCATCTTCTATTTCAATTGTGAACGTGTTCTATTTGTAAACATTGAAAAACAAAGAAGAGAATTTCGCGGATTTTGAAGATTTTAAACAATTTTACAAAAATAAAAACTTTTAAACACAAATTTTTCAAAAATTTTGTTCATCCATAAACCTTCCCAGAGTTACGTGAGGTCCCACACAAAATTTGGGCCCGATCGGTTTAGCCGTTTCGACGTTTATTGGATACAAACGGACAGACAGACAAGCCATATTCATATATAGATAGTTAGATATAGATTTGGGTTCATCAGTTTATTAAGGGGCTATAACTAGAATCTTAAGGGGGGGGGTGTAAGCAGCAGGGGCGTAAACATAAATCTATTCAGGAGGAGAGGGGATCTTAATGTTTTTACCCCTTCCTTACAATTCTTTAATCTGAAATTACAAACAAAATTATTAAATAGCGATTGAGAGAGTATCAAATCTAAACATAATTTTATTTTGAATCATTTGCTTTAGTTAAAGAATCTGATATGGTGACTCCCGATCCACAGATCTCGATCTCCAAATTGGGCACTTTTAATATGAGGATCAATGCTTAATCTCTCTGGCCCCAGGGTACGATTACACTGCGTATCGAATAAAGATAAATTATTCTGCGGAAACCAGATCAAGCATTGAACTCAAAATTGAGAATACAAGCGTTCCCAGCTCTGAACATATCTATGTGTAGAACAGGGTGCCCCATATCATATTAGATCGTCAATGGGTTTAGATTACGTTTTTTTGAACAAATAAGTAAATTTAAGAAGATTAAATCATTTTGTATAATTGAATAAGGCTGAACCGATCGGAACCAAATTTTGTGTGGCACCTCAAATGACCCACGGGAAGGTTTATGGGTGGTTAGAATAAAAAATCTATAAAAGAGCAACAATTGAAAGTTAAAATCGAAGATGGGCGCTGAAAGCTTAGTCATTAATCAATGATTTTTTAGAATCTGTTGGGTAAATTAGAGACAGAGGAGCAAAGGAATAAAGAAAATGAGAAAATGGGGGAGAATAAAAAATATGATAATTTTGTTTCTGCTCTTGATACCCTGCTCTCACTCTGGGAGTACGCGGCCACAAACTCATCAGATCCGGAGAAGAAGGAACAACGAGATATGGTATTATTTTTATGCCCCCCCTCGACCCTAGGGGTGTAAATTTTCTTAGAAAATCAACCCCCCCACAAAATAAGCATTTTAAAAGGTGTAAAACTGGCATTTTGAAATCCAATTCTTCATGTTTTCCCCCAGAGCATAAAAAGTTTTTTTTCTCTCTTCTCGTTTTTTTATTGGAATTGTCAAAAAAATATAATCATTCATGATAGTTTTTGACCTATTAACCTAACCCCTTGGGCTATTGTTAGTTTTTGAACTAAATGTATGATGGCACTTGATGGTGAATATATGATAGCACTTGGTTGTGAATATATGATAGCACTTGATAGTGAATGTATGATGGCACTTGATGGTGAATATTTGTTAGCACTGGATGGTTAATATATGATAGCACTTGATGGTGAATGTATGATGGCAGTGGAACTTGATTGTGAATGTATGATGGCACTTGATGGTGAATATATGTTAGCATTTGATGGTGAATGTATGATGGCAGCTGATAGTGAATGTATGATGGGACTATATGGTAAATATATGATGGCAGTTGATGTTGAATATATGATGGGACTATATGGTGAATATATGATGGGACTAAATGGTGAATATATGATGGCAGCTGATAGTGAATGTATGATGGCACTTGATGAGATATATTCCTGCAGGTTGAAGTGTATGTAGAATGTATAGCTATGAGATATATTCCTGCAGGTTGAAGTGTATGTAGAATGTATAGCTATGAGATATATTCCTGCAGGTTGAAGTGTATGTTGAATGTATATCTATGATATATATTCCTGCAAGTTGAAGTGTATGTAGAATGTATAGCTATGATATATATTCCTGCAGGTTGAAGTGTATGTTGAATGTATAGCTATGATATATATTCCTGCAGGTTGAAGTGTATGTTGAATGTATAGCTCGTGGCTCCAGGATAATTTTCCTCTCTGGAGAATGGATGCAATTTGATTCATTTACAAAGTAAGTTTTCTTTAAAAAAAGGTAAGAATAAAAGACAAAGAATAATAAAATGTAAAAAAACATTTCTTTTAAAAATTCTAAGAAATTAAAGTTCTTAAAAATTTCTTTTAAAAAACATAACATAATAGAACTAAGAAAATCTGTATCCCCTATAATAACGGGGAAAACTAGCTGTTTAACGAACAGTGCTCTTACGCGAACTGTAAGCGTAATTTCAAGTGACCCTCCATGTATAGATGGAGTTGCCAGATTACAATGGTATGTTGAAACCTGTATCTGATAAAATGTGGAAAATAACTTCGTTTTCCTGATTCGACAAGTATAGATTTCTTTTCAAATCTCCATTGTTTCAACTTAGCAAGAAATGCGCAAGTCAATTTTGCAGAGAAACCACAAATGTAAATAAACAGTTTAAATTTACAAAAACATAGATATCTAATTCATACTTAATCAGCGGACGCGCTTATTTAGGCGCACTTTTTCAAACGTACAAATGACGAAAATTATGGAGGTGACAGAAATTAAGTTAAAGTTTCATAGAATTAGTTAAATCTTGAATTTATGGTAAATATAGGTCACATCTGGAGAAAAGACTGTATAAAGTGAAGGAGCAGGTTCCTGCGTCTAGCAGTACTGTCGAAGGTGACATTTTATTTATCAATTTCAATCAATGAATTCTAATTTCCATGGCTAGATCACCCTGGGGTGGCACTACAGTTAGAAACCTTCTCTGTGGAAGGATAGAGAAGGAGGAGGAAGGTGAAAATACATTTTTTTAAATATCTTTTTTTATTCAGTTTTGTAGAATTTTTTCTACAGGTAATATTTTAGAAAGTATCAATATGTTTTTGTAACACTCTAAATTAACTATTCTAGAAAAGATTTTTGAAGAAAAGTTAGTATTTTAGACAGAAACTTAAATAAAATAATCGAGAGTTCTTAGATTCTGATATTTTTCTTTACATGAGGTCAAAAATGCTTTATAATTTGCAAAATCTTGCGAAAAACCAATTTTTTCCAGCCATCTCACTCTAAAATATATACATAAACATAAACATAAACACTTAAGCTATGTTAAACCAAGATCAAAAAACTAATTTTATTTTTGTTTTTAACCTTAATTTTAAATCTAATTTTATTAGTTCTCGGTCTGGTTTCTAGGGAGGGAGTTGAAACTGTTCTGCTTCGAATAGAGTTATTAATAGAGGGAGGTTTAGACAAACAGGTATTTGTCTCTTGTTAGACGTTTTTTTGTTCATTATCGATCTGTTTTGTCCATCATCTGTTATATTTTGTCTATATTTGATATATTTTGTCTGTTACCTGATATTTTTGTCTATTATCTGATATTTTTGTCTATTATCTGTTATATTTTTTCTATCAACTGATATGTTTTGTTTAATATCTGAAAGGTTTGGTCTATTATTGGACGTATTTTGTCTATCAACTGATATGCTTTGCCTATTTTCTGATATATCTGATATAATTTGTCTATTATCAGAACTCTCTTATCTTTTAGTTTTGTTTATAAGCTGATATTTTTGTCTTCGTAGGATCTGAATATTTTGTCTATTTTCTTTATTTTTCTATTTTCACTATATGTTGTCTATTATCAGATATTGTCTGTTTACGAATTTATGAATATTGTACACTTATTTATTTGATAATGTGCTGTAGGCATACAAAGCTGTTGCGGCCGTAGCTAACTCATTGCTTGCAGGTTATTATTGAATTTTTAAGTTTAAAATATGTTATAAATAGTTCCTATATTTTTTTTACAAATTAACTACGGAATTAATAGCCATAGTTATTATCATTAGTGTTTTTTATTTATTATTATTATAATTATTGTTATTATTTTTATTATTATTATCATTATCATTATCATTATCATTATCATTATCATTATCATTATCATCATATCATTATAATTATTATCATATCATTATCATTATCATCATATCATCATATTATTATCATCATATCATTATCATTATCATTATTATTGTTATCACAGTATCAGTATTGTAGTCGTTGTCGTTGTCGTTGTCGCTGTCGCTGTCGCTGTCGCTGTCGCTGTCGTTGTCTTTGTGGTTGTCATCATAATGATGATACTAATATCATCAATATTATCATCATTATTATCATCATTATTATCATCATTATTATCATCATTATTATCATCATTATTATCATCATTATTATCATCATTATTATCATCATTTTTATCGTCATTATTATCATTATTTATTAATATCATTATTATCATTATTTATTATTATCATTATTATCATCATTATCATCATTATTATTTATTATTATCATATTCAGATGATATGATACGTGAATCGTATTCCTCCACCTCTCCTCCAGGCTGTATTGAACGCATAATAGATATATTTATTGCCTCATGTATAGCACAACATAGGGAAACAAGACTTTTTAAAGCGGTAAGTTTTTCGAGCCTGATCTCGATATTCAATGTGCTCACTTCTAAATTTTAGGATAAATGTTTGATCCCACAATTTTATTTATCTCTGCAGGGTATGGCCACCAGGGGATATCGAAATCACAAATCTATATTTCCATTTCTACAATAAGCCGTTTGAAATCAATATATTATTAAAATTATCTTTTAAAAATCCACATTGCGATTATTAAAATAATCTGTTTAAATTCTATATTTCTATTATAAGAATAATCTGTTTAAATTCTATATTTCTATTGTAAGAATAATCTGTTTAAAATCTAAATTTCTATGATAAGAATAATCTGTTTAAAATCCATATTTCTATGATAAGAATAATCTGTTTAAATTCTATATTTCTATTATAAGAATAATCTGTTTAAAATCTATATTTCTAATATAAGAATAATCTGTTTAAAATCTATATTTCTTTTCTCCTCCAGAATTATTTGTTAAAAATCCATATTTTTATTTCAAAGATTATCAGAAGTCCAAACTTAAGTCTTGGGATAAAAATTTGACTCCATCTAATCCTACGGATTAAATTTGAATCTCGGGATCAAATATTAATCTCCATCTGATCCTACGGATTAAATTTAGTTCCTTTTCGATATCTGGTGGTGGTCATAACCTGCCCTTGGCAGGGATAACTCTAATTGAAGAATCAAGCATTTATCCTTAAGTTTAAAAGTGCCCACACCATAGATATCGACATCAGGCGTTCAAGATAGGATACTCCGCAGAAAAGTTCTGATCTTTGATCCAAATTTTAATTTCTAATTGTATAATTATTTATTTAGCTGAAGCTGATCGGATTAAATGATGTGAACAACATATTTATCAAAAGGTTCAGCCATTATTTAAATAACACCACATACATACAAGAGAACAAGGAGGAAAAGAAGGAGTATAAAGAAGAAAAGAAAGAGGAGAACAATGAGGAAAAGAAAGCGGAGAACGAAGAAAAGAAAGAGGAGAACAATGAGGAAAAAAAAGCGGAGAACGAAGAAAAGAAAGAGGAGAACAATGAGGAAAAGAAAGAGGAGAACAATGAGGAAAATAAAGCGGAGAACGAGGGAAAGGTAGAAAAGGGAGAGCAAAAAATCCTCGAAAATGATGTTGAAATGAAGAGCGTAGAGACTGAGGAAAAAGTCCTCGAAAATGATGTTGAAATGAAGAGCCTAGAAACTGATGACAAGAATAAAGAAAATGAACCCAAAGAGAAAACTGATATGATGAATAAAGAAGAAAATAAAACAGACGAGGATAAAGAACAAGGAGAAGATACAGACGAATCTGATCCTGAGATATCGGCGGCCAAGTTTCAACTTTTAGAAAAAGGTAAATACACGGAGTTTCCTGATCTGTGATCAAGAATGCAATAGTTATATTAGTATTTTTTTCTTCTTTTTTTTTCAATTCTGGGTTATCTGTATAAGTGACATGAGGATTTCTAATTCTACTGAAGAAAGAATTGAGGAAACTGTTAGAATCAAACACTTTTTTTCGGAGTTTTGGAGAAAGTTAAAAATGGGACATATTTTTTATGCTTTCCACATCTCACCCATTTATTATTTGATATAAATAAAGCAATAAAAAGTTGAAATTTTTTATTTTTTAAAACTCAATGTTTTTTAACGAGTGCAGAAACATTTTTCTGTGATTATGAAAATGACTAATCTAGGTCGGTGTGAGCGTCTGTTTTCTGTTGATATTTGTTTGAAAAGTTTGGAGAATATTTTCCAATGGAGTATAGCTGGAGCTGCTATGCGACAAACCAGTGTCAAGCTCCAGGAGTATCTTATCAGGTATGAAGGGGNATTACCCGGATATTATTTTGTCGCTATGCGAAAAACAAGTGTCAAGCTCCAGGAGTATCTTATCAGGTATGGAAGGGGGGGTGGAGAGTATAGCTGGATCATGTCCGATCAGGGCCGGGCAAGAGTTGGAGCAACGGCTCACCTCTGTGAAATTGCTTTCTCCTAAAGCATAGTTTGCTCACCTCTAGTAAATTCTTGCATCCGCTCCCAATATCCGATTCATATCGGTACCATTTAAACTTATATCTGATGAACAAGAAAACGATAAGTAATACATCCAATGTTTAGCTCCTGGTTGTCGAAGTGTTCAGCTAACAAGGAGAGGTTGCTGGAGGATGTGGAGGCCCTGATGGAAACCTCGAAACAAACCTCCTTCCTCTACACCCTTGCACACCAACTATATAAACATCTTGGAACAGAACTTGAAACTAAAGTAACTTTTCCTCATAAATACAAGTTTTATGACTAGGCTATCAGCATTTTCTCTTCGATAAAACATAATATAATTTTTTTGCGGATGTACAAGTTTTTTTTCGTGAATTTTAGAAATTTTACGAAAATAAAAAATTTTTGGAGGCAATTTTTTGTAATTATGAACATCCATTAATCTTCCCCGGGAATGACTTTGACGTTTATCGGTTGCAAACAAACGAACAGGCAAGCAAAGTATATTATATAAAATATAGATAAATTCTGGTATTTTGAACTAAAACGTCTCACCACGGAAATGCCTCAATAGAACAGACTCAAAAAAACTACTTTAATTTCGTCTTCTCTCAACTTAAAATTAAAAAGACTTTATTCTAACGATTTTCACAGCCATGGCCGTAGTGCTCGGTCCCCTAGCCTGTCCTAGCCGCAGCTTAAGGCCCCTAGCCAGTCATAGCCGCAGCGCTCGGCCCCCCTGGCCCTAGCCCGTCCTAGCCGCAGTATTCGGCCCCCTCCGAAGTGGTGCAACTTAACCAATCCTAAATTAATGCTATAAATAATTTTTTTTTTAATTAGAGAATATGACATTAAATTAGTTTTATGAGTCCGTTTTTTGAGGCATTTGACATTTCCGTGGTGAGACGTTTCCATAGATTCTAAGATCCATAGCATCTAGATTTAAGGTGCCAGTAATGAGGCAATAAGAAATAAACGATAATCAATCAATCCATAGCACGAAAATATTAATGTTATTATAAGTTAGGCAATTCGGTTGAAATTTGTACAAACACGAATTGTTGGAGTCGAAAACTAATTCAAAGTCATTTTTTGGGGCTGGATATAAATTTCTTTTTTAAAATTCTTTGTATATACTTTTTTTAAATGATGGCAATTACTGGATTACTGGATTACTGGAAAATTTTTCGCTGGAATTTCACTTTTGTGACATTTTCAGCGAGTCAATATATCTTTTTTGTTTCTACTGATAGTGCATTAAGTTAAACCAGGGATCTTGGCGCCCCTGACACCTATCACATTGAAGAATTATGTTTGTCATACATATTCTTAAAATTATTTTTTAAGGTTTTGAGTATTTTTATCCGAGCCCTAACCTCGGACATAAATGAGATCGAGGCTGCCAAGAGAAGTAAAACCTCGAAAAACCACATGGAAGAAAGGCTGGCCCGTGGTTTTGTTTTGCTCAGGTATCCGACTGAAGGAAATCTAGAAAGCTGCCAAATTTACGAAAGAAATTCTGAGTTGAAGTATTTTTCGAAGTGTCTCCTTATTACACAAAAATCTATGTTCAAATTTTAAAAAAAGTTTGTTCTTATTTTTGATTATTTAGTGAAGTGGTTGGTGAACGTGTATCTCTGGCGCGTGAATGCGTTCTTACTGCGTTCAGTATAAAACCGGAACTGAGTACCCTTTAAATACATTTTTTAAAAATATGGCGACGTTAGGGGGTTTACATTGTAGAGTCACCTCAGGTGAACCCCCCACCCCCCCACACAGATAACTCCTTTCCAAACCCCTCCTCTCAAAATAATTTTTTAAAATAATGAATCTGTTCTATTTGCTAGATGGCGGGAGTGGGAAGACCACATTTTTGAAAGCCCATGATCTGAAAAGTACAGGTAGAGTGGAGCAGGACAGCTCCACCCAGAACCTGGAGGACTTCAGCAAATACATAAATGGCTACGAGGTAGAAACCCAGGGTTAATTTTCTTGAAAAATTATATCCCCCCCTTTCTGAAATTCACCCCCCCCCCCAGCGGAGCGGAATTTTTTTTTAATTTCTTTTATCCTAGAGTTTGGGAAAATGATTTATATTATTAAGTGTAAGTTAATTATTTTTTGAGTGGAAAAAGGATGAAAAATCTTTTGATGTCCAATTATTCATTCATTCATACTTAATAGTCTTAAATTATGACCACTTCCCCCCAGTCAGCAATATAAACATAACAAAAATTTAACGCGGGGAATATGACCTCGAATCATTTACCTGGGATGGTGCTTTATGTCTAACTCCATGCGTGGATGGAAAATATACTATATTGGAGAAGGGGGGGGGGGACTTTTTAATAAATTATGCTGAAAAGTAAACCGCTGCTACGTCATGTTCAATTCTCAGTGATTCATGAAATAATCTTTTCGTAGTCTGTGTATTTGTGTGAACAAATATATTACAGTCAGAAAGAAAAAATAAATATATCACAATCGTTTCTAATCAGATTTGACGCATTTATGCTACATTTATAATCTTCGACAGTTTTTAAAAAAGAAATATTGAACCACACTGTTTGTATTTCTAAAATGTACAAATGTATCACTTTATTTTTTATTGTTATTTTACAAATTGGCCCGGCCTGAAAAAAATGATGCTTAAAAGATAATAATTTTTTTGAAAATTGTGATTTAGGAAAGTGTTGATGGATTTATCCAGGAGTTGGATAATCATGAATTCTCCGCAGCACATACTAAACTTAGAAGCAATAAACCCAGGTAAACGATTGATTGATTGAACATTGATTGATTATTTGGTCATTTATTTATTGCTTGCTTAATTGATACATTGATTGATTCATTGAGGTTTATTGTTTGATTTATTAATTGGTTTATTGATTGATTGTTTGCTTGATTGATTCAGTCAATAATTGATTGATTGATTGTTTGATTGGTTACTTGGTTACTTGGAAGTTTATCCTCAGAGCTCCGGTAGGAACATAGACGAGGATGTCTTTAGGATCATCACAGAGTATTGACCAGTCTTCCTGCTTCGGCTCCACAGTGCTCACCATACTCAAATACTCCTTGCATAGTTTAAAGTCTCCCAATGTCAATAGAGTCAAGCAGGGTCCGAAATATATTTAAAGTTCTTGCCTCTTTAACTTCTACTGGAAGTTTATTCCATTTAGGAACAACACGATTTGAGAAAAAGTTTTGCCTGACATCTGATCTTGGTCTTTTTGATATCAGATTGTCGTGATATGATGTATGTCTAGTTAACCTGGTGGCATCGACTCCAACCTTACTGAACCAAGTGTTGTGGTCTACTCTGTCTATTCCCTTCAAAATTTTGTACGTTTGGATCAGGTCTAGTTTGGTTCGTCTGTCCTTCAGTGACAGTATACCTAGTTCGTCAAGCTTTTCCTCATAGGTCCTGCCATTTAAACCAGTGATCAGGTTGACCGCCCTGCGCTGCACTTTTTCTAATATTTCAATATCCTGTCCAGTCCAGGGTGACCACGCCGGGACCGCAAACTCTAAGTGACATCGGACAAATTGAGTATATAACCTCAAAAAAGTAGATCTGTCTCGGTAAAGAAATGTCCTGGTTATTTGTCCACCACTATCTATATCCTATTTTACTTGCTTTTATCCCGTACTCTTTTCGTTTGATTGCTTTTACCTAGTTTTTTTGCTATACAAATTCTTGTTTTTTGTTATATTAAGAATCAAAAAGAAATATATTTTTTATTTCTGAATTTAACTTTTAGATAAACATGATTCTGTTTTACATTTGAATAATATATTTTGGAAAAAGTCAGTTTAAACCATAAATGCAAATCAATCTTTTCCCAAAATTATTATCTAAAATATTTTTCTTTCCCCCCCCCTTCCAATTAACTCCTAAATTAACCCCTGTTAAGATGTCCCTTGCAAATCCCTTCAACCTGAGAATCTGAACCTGGCACCGAACCTTACAGATGATCTCCTCATAGTTGTCAGGTATAATTTATCTATCTATATATATTATATATCTATAATTTATCTATTTATATATCTATATATCTATATATCTATAATTTATCTATCTATACATCTATATATCTATAATTTATCTATATACTATATTCTTATCATCAATCTACCTATATGTCTGTGTAAGAATCTATCATTTATCTATCTATCATCAACCAATCTATCTATCTATCTATCTATATCTATCTATCTATCTAGTGCTCCCCGATGGCATATGCTGAGCTGGGTAATGTCCTGGTCTAAGCTTGAACAATCTTGTTTAAATCTTCTCAAAGATCCAACTCTCAGGTATTAAGATGGAGTTTTCTCCGCTTTATTCAGGTGGCAAGCGGAGAAAATCCTCCCCCCCCCCCTCTCTCTCACTAACAACCTTGTCATCTTCCGCCAAAAACCAGTTACGTCATATCAGGATTTTGAGTGTCCATTGCTCATGACATTTTCGTAATATTCTTATTCCCGATTACTTAATCTGAGTATTTGATATTCTTCTTAAACCGTTCTTTCTTCGATAAAGTAGAGAAAAATCAAAAACCGGTTTTTTAAAGGAGAGTCCCTCCTGTTTCTGTATATTACCCTTGAATGGCGCGCGAAATTTCAAACTTATCGGCTTCATATACGCGACTCTGATTTTATACACTTTTCAGGATACAAGTATAACAAGATTAGGTTAGTCTCGATATTAAGAAAAAGAGAGGATCAAGCATTAATCTCAATATCCACCATTCTAAAGTTTTTAGCTCAGAGTATCTAACGAGGGGAGGAAGGCCAACCAATCTCTAGTCCGAACCACGTTCTCATCATTTTCTCGTCCGAACCACATCGAAATCCTCGTCCTTTCAATATTATTTTTTTTTGTAGAACATCGTTTATGGAGCATTTTCATTTTTACACAAATCTAAAATTTAATTGGGAAAATTTGATATTTCATCTATGCCCTAACGTCGCCATATTTTTAAAAATTGTATTTATTTTCTTGGATCGGACACTTAAAAAAATAATATTGAAAGGACGAGAATTTCGATGTGGTTCGGACGAGAAAATGATGAGAATGTGGTTCGGACAAGAGATTGATGTGGTTGGCCTTCCTCCTCTCATCTAACCTTGATAAACACCCTGTTTATGAGTGTCCATTGCTAACAATATTTTCGTACATTGGAGCGCATCCAGAGTATTTAACCTTAATAAACACCCTTGGCCTTAGGTAATTAGATCGAGATGCAAAACACACTTCAGATTTCTCTTTTTGACCCTCCCCCTTTATAAAGATTTAGTATAACTCGTCAGTTTGTGCGCTTTTCGTTGCAATAAAAACGGTGATATTTCTAAATAGTAGTTTTGTTTTTAAAGGGAACCCATAGAGGACCTCAAGTATCTGAATATAGACTATACTCAGTTTAACGGATGGAGCTCAGATGAAGAGGTAAATATGTAGATTTGAGAATAATAACAATAACAATAAAGACAATAATAATAGCAATATAATTAATTATTCTCGCGTTTTACCGGCACCAATCTTCCAGCTTTATAAATAAGAATGTTTATGTAAATCCTTGATCAGCCTAAGGTTTAATTTCCAGCTTTATAAATAAGAATGTTTATGTAAATCCTTGATCAGCCTAAGGTTTAAAGGAAACTGTTGTGACTTTTAATTACTTGCACAGTCCCTTTAATGGTTTCATTTGTTGAATGCTCTGCTGTCTTTTTAATAATACAACTACTACAAGTGCTACTACTACTGCTACTGCTACTGCTACTGCTACTGCTACAACTATTTCTACTTCTGATAATAATATTCTAGGTAACAATATATACTGGTATTGAGAAGGGATATGAGAAGTGGTTACTGGATGGACCTGATAGTGATGATGGCAAGGTAAACAATTGATTGATGGATTGATTTCAATTTGTGTTCTTTGATTGATTGATTTTTAGTTTGCTTAGCAAAATTGATTTTTGGCTAGTCTGTTTTGATTTTCTGAATTTGATTTTCTGATAAATTTGAAATCCTGAATAATTACTGGTTAAAAGATTGATTTTATCTTATCTAATGATTGATTAGATAAGTGAGAAGGAAGCTTCAAGTGATGAAGAGTTTGATCACTCAATTGATTTTGAGAACTACAATGATCCTGACAAGTATTTAGGTAAACTCTACTTTTTAACGAAAAACCTCCGTGTTCTGGAAAACGTTCAGGAGTTGATTACTTGCCTCAAACTCGTCATCCTCTATTTAGTAGCAACCTTTTGGTGTAATCATTGGATATTTCTATAATTGACTACTTGATCTACAAGCATTTAAAGGTTGCAAAGATATAAGGAAAAAAAAGTTTGAAATCATAGTTTGCACTGCTTAAGTCCCCCCCCCCCTGTTCACGTCCCTAATTTTGCCACCAACTTGTTTTCTTGTTACAGTACCAGAGGACTATCTAAGAAACTTCAAGCCAGAAGAGAATACTATGAAGGCCGAGGAGTTAGAGAAGAAAGAAGACAATGAAGAGACAAAAATGGATGTTTGTCAAGATAAGTTGACCGCAGGTGTAAAAAGTGATGTCCAAGAAGACTCCCAAGAGTCTCCGAATGATCCTGCCGCAGAAACCAAAATGGAAAAAAGATCCTCTGCTAAAGATAAAAAATCCGGGAAACAACCTGAGGAGAAATCCGCCAAGAAGAGAAAAGCTGACAGCGAGATTAATCCTGAAGTCCTTTTGGTATGTTTTAATTTTTTACTCAAAAGCATTGAAATAATTGATAAATTTTATTTCAGGATGAATTTTGCAAAGAAAACCCTGATTCGCCAATGGTAGGAAAACCTGAAACAAAAACAATGGAAGTAGACAAGTAGATTGACCATGGATCACAAAAAAAAAGATTTTAAATATATTTTTACAATTTACATTTTCAGATATTTTTTTTTACAACACAATGTGAAATCATTCGATGATAGGGAAAGCTTAATGTTGAGGTAAACAGATTAAAAATAACATTAAAAAAGTAAATAACAAGATATTTAAAAAAACCTCAATGCAAGGATGAATTGCCTGTTTCACAATGGTACCCTTGAAAGCTTTGTCTGAACAAGTATGAATTAGATATCAATGCTTATTTTTCCGAAAAATGATTATTTATTTTCAATTGTGGTTTCTCTACAAAAGTGACCATTTCTACTACAGGAAAACATACAGGAATTATCAGAATTAAACACTTTTAAACCAGAAAAACGACAATATGTTCCATGATTATTGATCAGTTAAAGGTTTCAAGGGTATCGTTGTGAATTGGACACTGTCATATTTGCATGGAAGGTCCCTTGAAATTACACTTACAGTCCCTTTAAGAGGGGGAAAAGTGAATTTTTGAAAAAAAAGTTTCAATATTTGTTTTCTAACTGATATTTGTTTAAGATGGAGGGATATAGTGTAAGTGAAGAAGCTCTAAGAAATGTGGAATCTATTAGACAAAAGCTTCTGCTTTCCAGGTATATTGTTCAATTAATTCAAAACAATCGAGTAAAATAGCGCAAATCTAAAACGCTTAATACAAATATTTCTCCACAGATGTGCGTAATGATATGCAGTGTATTCTGTAACCGGCTTATTACTCTTTGAATTGGCTCATATATGGCTAACTGTTAGTACCCCGTAAACCTAGTGACAGTATCGCTGTAACACTTGCATTAAAGTACATCATTTGGACATCACTTTTTTAAATACTTTTCTACGTCACTTTTTGCCAACAATCCCTTTAACCATTTATTATTTTAGGTTGGTTCCTGGCCTGGAGTTCTCTTTTAAATCATCTTTCCAGATCTGTATGGTTCAGATCAATACTTCAGGTAGCATTATTATTCTTCTTGTGATTTATTTCAATAAAAAGTGTTTTCCGTTAGTCTTAATCTGTCTTACATTATTAACTTTNTAGCTGTTATAATAGTTAAGTTCGTAGAGTCTATTATTTTTCCCCAGGCCTTAAAATTATTTCTGTTTTGAGAAAGTTCATCTTGATTTTGAATCGTAGATAAAGCCTGGTAAGATTTGAGTTGACAATTTTATTGATTACTACTTTATGTGAGATGAATCGATGAAGTTATGTTGTTTATGTGTTTATGTTGTGATGTCTCCAAGGTTGGTTGGTTCTACGGAGTTGTGTTGATTGATTGATTGATTTCTGTAGGTGGGATGGATGGAACCAGTTTGGTTGGTTCTATGGAGTTGTGTTAATTGATTGATTGATTTCTGTAGGTGGGATGGATGGAACCAGTTTGGTTGGTTCTATGGAGTTGTGTTAATTGATTGATTGATTTCTGTAGGTGGGATGGATGGATCTAGTTTGGTTGGTTCTACGGAGTCAACTACTATCTCCAGCTCTGCACTCAGGACAGCACCAAGCACACAGGTAACACAGAGCTAACGCCAAGATAAGATGACGGAAGAAAAGAAGGATTTAACATGTTAGTTTGATCCCAACAGAAATCCGACGATTAGTAAAAATTGTAGTTAAAAATGTATTAGATCAATTTCAATTTTAATTTCGGATTAAAGCGTTGAAGAAGGGCTCCCTAAAAGTCTGATCGATTTGACCAGTGCATAGAATCCATTTAATTTTGATGCGGATCCGGATCTGGATTATGTATCCGCACAGGAAAAAATGGATCCGGATCCAAATCCGGATCCGGATTCAGGTAATTTCTTTAAGATTTACTGAATTTTTTAACAAAGCAAAATTTCCAAATATGTTGTCTTATTTGGGTTTCGAGAGTAAAAAAGGTTTTTTTTGCAGTTTTTGGTTGATATTTTGCCCTTTAGATCCGGATCCGTAGATCCGCATATTATTGCAGATCCGGATCCTGATCCAGGAAGCCAATATCTTGCGGATCCAACGATCCGGATCCTAAGCACTGGTTTGAACACAATCACGACAGCTTGGACTGCCCTTGATTTTAAATAAATAAAATTACTTTGATTAATATAATGATTGTTTGTGTATTGTTGATCTATCAATTGTTTGATTGATTAAATGCTAGATAAAATGAATGATAAAATCAATGATAAAATGAATGATAAAATGAATGATAAAATGAATGATAAATGAATGGTAAAATGAATGATAAATGAATAATAAAATGAATGATAACTGAATGATAGGATGATTAAATTAAATGAAAACATATATTTTAGGATTAATGATAGGATGAATGATTTAATAAATAGTTGATTGTAAGGATTAATGATTAGTATGGTCTATGATTAAATGATGAATGATAAGGATGATAAATGAGAGTTTTTTTGCTTTATTGATGGATTTCTTTCTTGATTGATAAATTGGATGATTGATTGATTGATTAATTGTTCTAGGTTGTTGAGTTGTCTAGTAGCACTAGTACTACTCAGCTTCAACAGACTTCAGTTGTTAGACCTCAGATAATGAATTCTCCTTTACGGTAATTTTTGTTTTTAATTTATAATAGAAGTCTAAATCTAAAGTACAATATTAGCACGATTATTCTTCTGTACTGTACTATGCCTGTACCTGTACCTGTATTGCAATTCACTGTACCGCAATTTACCTATGGTATTGTACTGCGATGTACCTATGGTACTGTACTGTACTTTACCTATGGTACTGAAAGTGTACTTTTAGTGTAGGTACTGTATTGTACTGAATTGTAGTGTAGTTGTACTGTTCTGTATTGCAGGGGTTTCACTGGAAACAAGAAGTTCCTGTACAGGCAGGGAAACCAAACCTTTATCATAGAATCCAGCGCTCTTCTAGGTAAATATTTTTAATTCATTCTATAATCCATTCCTGGTTTAATTCACTTAATTCACTTAATTCACTTAATTGTAACAATATATTTACAGATGTAATTTTATATATACGTGTTGTGTACGTTCAGTTTTAAAATAAGATCAAAACTAAAGCGAAACTTTTTTTCAAATCTTTACATTTAAGCTTTTAAAGATTATCAATGGAAAATTGTATTTGACGTTTGATGAAGATTGGAGATGTCCGTTTCTTTGTTGGTTTCTAAACTTTTTGATTATTTGATTAATTGACTATTTGGTTCATCTTTATATTGGATGGTGATTCAATATATTGATTGATTGATTGATTAGAAAAACTGCGTGCTGGTGGTACACTAAGATTACCAGTGACTGCTCTGCGTCCTGTCTCCCTGGTACCAACCTCTCAAGGTAGACATTTTAGTACAAAATTCTTTTTTTTCTGAAAAAATAGGTTTTTTCAGAAGAAATATTTTTTTTTGTTTTGAATCCTATATTATTTTGTTTTTGCTGGACCTAACTAATTTATTTTTTCTCGATCAAAGATTATTATTTTTCTGGAGTTGGTCTTCGCTTCTCAATATTTGGTGAAAAATAACAATCAATCTGAAAAAATTTAAATTTAATGAAGATCTATGGGGGATGATGTTTTTTTAGTTATTATAGAGTGAAATCATATATGAACGAGGACGGAAATCTCTTAGTTTGTTTGATTTTGTATTTAGAATTAGAATTAGATGCAGAAAATCAGTTTTGGAATCTTTTGATATTGTTTATCAGTGTAGAATATCAATTTTGGATTTTTGGATTGATTATAAAATATTTTATAATCTGTCGTCAACAAACATATTTTCCAGGAGTTCTTGGGTCCTCGTCTAGTCAACTAAACCTTGTATCCTCATCTACTAGTCTACCAACACTCAGAACATCATCAAATCTTATAAGTCAACCCAGTCAGATCAACCTACCAAGTCAAATCCACATACCGAGTCAAATCAACCTGCAAAGTCAAATCAACCTACCAAGTCAAATCAACCTACCAAGTCAGATCATATCTAGTCAAATCAACCTACAAAATCAGATGAATTCTGTCAGCCAAGAAAAAGAGAGGAAAGAGTCTGAGGTTTTGACCCTGTCTTCTGCAGGGGACGAAGGTATACCCCCCTACTCACTATTCTAATGTTTGAATGATTAAATAATGTCCTACATCTACTGGTTACTTTATGCGTTAGGTCAAATTGAATTTGGCTGTTATGCAATGTTTTTCTAAAAATTGCTCAGTGAAAAAGTAGCACAATAAAACAGGGGTTTAAAGTCGTTCTCTTTACCCACAAAAAAAGTTACCGCGTGAATTAAGAATCTTTAAAAAATAATCTTTAAGTTTTTCAATAATTTATGTCTGTAAATGATAAAAGAGGCAAAAAAACCCGTTAAATTAGCATCCTAATTTAGATTTCTATTTCTCAGGAAGAAATTCCTTAACATAGTTAATCTTGATTTTCACCTTTATTTTTCTGTGTCTAGGTTTAGCAGGTCGGTTGACCAGCATGGTTAGCTCAGGTCTGAGCCTCATCTCCCAAACTAAACCAACCCCCAGTGTTATTCTTGCCAAACCCAACGGAATATCCCTCAACAGCGGAACCACCGCTAGTGGAATAACCCTGGCGGGCGGAATAATTACTACCTCGAACGGAATAACGCTGGCGGGTGGAATGACCCCTGGATCCGTAGGGTTGACCCTGACCCAAGTTCCTCGGCCAAATCTTTCGGTGTCGGGGGTTGTCACCCTCACACAGACTCTTCCTACAGCTGTGAATGCGACGGGTCCGATAACCTCCTCCCCGGTTCCCAGACCGACCCTACTAGGTGTCGGATCCCCTTCTCAAAATACAATTATTGTGCAAAGATCTCCACAGACCCAGACCTCCATCTTGCAGACAAATCAGACTAAGGTAATGCATAGAAAAAACATAAATATTCAGGGGTTCCACAGTGGGACCCACAAAATAGTGAAATTTGAAGACGATGTTTAAGAATTATCTGTATTTGATATTGTTCTAAAGTTTAAAGTTGAAAATCAACTTATTAAGTGAAATGAGGTTGTACAGCACACTTAGACTTGTTTTGTTATATTCAATCTCAATCTTGAAAGATATAAAAAGAGCACATTCTACCATATAGGAGAAACAACTTGCCAATTTGGAAAATCTACCAGTTTGGGAGGTGTCGTATCGTAATTGCACTAATGATTGATCGGACTAACGTACATTCGCACTAACGTTCATTCGGACTAACGTTTTATTTGAGGGTTAGGTTAGGTTAGGTTAAGACAATTTCTGGGCCGCGGCGCTGCGGCTAGGACAGGCTAGGGGGCCGAGCGCCGCGGCTAGGACAGGCTAGGGGGCCGGGCGCTTCGGTCACAAGTGTTACTGACTTTAGTGCAAAAGTACGTTAGTTCAATCGGACATTAGTGCAAACGATATAGCATCGTTTGGGAGAAAACTTTATAATTTCCGCGGAAAAATTTACCAATATTTAAACTATTTAGTCCGATACTACTCGGTTTCTACTGACCCGTACTCCAGTATCCAATCCACCTGTAGCATCATCTACACCAGGTATTATTATTATTATTATTTTTTTTTTTTTTTATTATCATTGAAGCAAGAAATATTTAAATGGACTGTCCTTGTCATTTTAAGCGACCTTCCATTTAGAGAGGTGCACATCCAATTCACAGCAATACTCGTTAAATCCTAATCTAATCAATAATATACAAAGATACCGTAGTTCTTGTTTTCCCAATGTTTATGAAGCAAGATATTCGAAAGTCACTTGTTCAGAGAAACAACAAACGAAAATAATCAGTTTTCAAAAACAATGAAAAGTCATTTGAAACAACGTTTACAGTTCTTTAAAATGACAGTTGGTACGAGTTTATCAATCATACATGGTGAGTGACCCATGGAAATGCCAGTTAAGAGACAACTTTATGATCATGTCTTCGATTTTTTTCTTATGATTTGAGACATTTATTCGTCATGGTAGTTCGTGCATTATCTTGTTCTTTAATTACCGGAGATATATAGTTTTGTAGAGATTTAGACAATTTTAATCATATTTAATTAATTAAAATTATTTATAAGATCAAGGCATCTTCAAATTGTCTCCTAAACAAGTATACATCAAAAAGTTAACCAACTTTCAAGCCAATACATGAAAAGATGTCGGAAGCCTAGATTTGTTGTCTCATCAATCATCAATTTGGTTTATTTTTGATTACCATAACAAATTGTTCGTAATATTTCACTAAGTTTAAGAAATTGTTTTGAAATTAGGCATTTGATCTATTCCCATTCTTACTATATAGAATATGTACATTTACAATTGTTGTGCGGTCGCCTTGTAAAGCCAATTTGAATGTTTATGCCTATATCCTGAGTATAGCTTCAGTAAGGTCTAAACCAACTATGGACGCTGATGTAAACATACTGTGATTTCTTTTCTTAATAGATGACACTCGTTTAAACCACTTTCTTCTCCTCTTTTTATCTGTTGTTAAACTGTAAGAAAATCTACCAAGTAACACCAACTGAATAAAGATCAAAGAAAAAAACAGTTTATATATAGAGAGAGTAGTTTGAAACCGGTCATTCAAAGAATATCAATATATAGATACTATCTGACTACTTATTAATTTATCCTTAATTATAATTCTCGATGTATAATAAAAGTTTTATCAAAAAGCTCACTGTCACATCGCTCTGGGCCGTAGTAAATTTGAATTCGAACAGGACCTGCCCAGTTTGTACCGGCCTGCCAGATAACAGCGAGTACTACCCGATCCTATGGTAGCCCGGTTCCATGTATTCTATACAGTACGTCGCCCTAACCAGACTAACATACGACAGGGGTCAATTTTCTTAGCATAGTCGGAGGGATAACTCGACAACTCCCATGGCGCGTTCAGACTTTTTACAGTACCCGGCCCAATCCTAGGCCTATTTGACCGACCCCACTGGCTTAGTCCACCGTGCACAGATAGTAAAAGTTAAAAAAGAGGATGGGCAAGCGCTCTAAAAGCCTTGTGTCAAAAATAATGAACTATTTACTCTAGGAGCCCCAGATATTATCCGACAGCTAAACATTGCTCGATGCCAGGGTCTAGTTGTTCTACAGAGATGGGGGGACAAACAGGTAAGGACCCCCCCTCCCTCCCCCCCAAAAAATTCTTGTGATTACAAAGTTAGATGCAAGTTTTTGTTGAGTTGATAGCCATTTTTAAATGGTTTGGGTATGATAATGCATTTTTGTCGAATTAATCCACTTTATTTTTTAAGAATGCCAAATATGTAAAACACTTCACCATTAATAAAGATAGATTGGGCATAAGACGACATTTCGGAACTTTACAGATATAATTGTGCGCAGAGATTTGAAATATTTTCCAAACTTATAAATTACCAAAGGTTGGTTGTGAACATTGGCTGTTCTTATGTTATTGAGTACATGCGGTGTACATGAGTTATGCATTTCTCCGTAAAATGTTCTTTAAATAATTCTTTTTTCGGAGTTATTTTACTCTTAACGAAAGGAATGATTAAATGCAGTATATTTGTAAAATAAACCATTTGTAATGAAACTTTTCATCTAAAGTCATATAAACAAACGTTCTAAAAGGTCTAAACTAAACCCTTAAATTTTACAGTTTGTGGCGAAGACAGTTTTCTATTATTTTATTTTTTTATACAGCAGAGGGCTGAGGGTCGAAGAGGGGGGGGGGTTACCCACCAACACTATATTCCAGCAAAGAAATATCATCAGTACGGCGTTATAAGGGGGGCTCAACATAATAAACTGACTCAATCATGATTATGATGGTAGACCATCTTTAATGAAATTTTGCCAAATGCACATATTTAAACGAATTCTGACTCAAGTTGTTAATTTTGGATATATAAAGAGCCAAATCCGTAAAAATAGAAAAATTTAATTTTTTCTACTTCAACCCCTTTAAACAGTCCTTTAGTTTTTTAACCTGAAAAGTGCTTATACGCTCCCCTGGAATCTGGATATGATTTTTAAAAATATGCTATTTTCTTATCAAAAATGAAATCATTGAAGTGATAATGTAATCATGAAATCCATTAAAATCACCAAACATCCCCGCTTTTTATTGAAATACACCTAGAAGTTTGAGTTCACGGACTGCACAATCCTTGGTGATTTTGCGTACGTAGCTATCTATGTTTATTTATTTATCTATTTATTGATCTAGATTTCACTAATCAAAGGGGGCTGTGGAGCCCCCATACCTCCCATTGAGTACTCCTCTATTTCCATCAATCCATGAATGTTAACATATTTCAAAATACTCATAAATCCCCAACTTTTGTAATTAGGGGCACAACTTACCAACCATAGATGTTCCTGAGAGCCAGAGAAATTTTAACCTTCTGGTTCTCAGGAACATCTTTGAGTGAGAATAAGTTTAAGCAGTGAACGATGTGGTTTTATGTTCATGTTCAAATTGGGGGATCATCATCAGGGATTAGATGTTAATTAATCTATGGGGGGGGGGGAACTGATTACCCTTTCAGAAAAAACTGTCTTAAAAAATTGTATCCCTAGGTTCTGGTTCACAAGGCAACTGGAAGATGGATAATGAGACAGGGAAACCGACTTGTAACAGTTCCACCACAGGAAATTAGAAATAGAATCAGATTCGATTTCATCACCCTTTTTCTAAAATCAATCTCTCAACTAAGTTTTTGTGAGCTCAGCATTATATATTCTAGAAAATATGGTGGGTGAAATTGCAAGGGTATTATAAACCACATCAGGAAATTATCACTTATTAGCTAGAAAAACAAGGATTTCTTCATCTTTTTTCTAAATTCAATCTCTCAACTAAGTTTTTGTGATGACCGAGCTCAGCATTATACATTCTAGATAATATGGAGGGTGCAAACTGCAAGGGTATTATAAACCACATTAGGAAATTATCACTTATAAGTCAGAAAAACAAGGATTTCTTCATCTTTTTTCTTAGAAAAAGGTTAAAATTATGAAGACACTGACAGTCCCGTTTCTCTATCATACCAACCTTTGTTGAGTGAATATCGGGCAAATCCCAAAATCAAGAATAGGTTTCTTCAGGTTCACAGTCACGTACTTCAAGAATGGTTGAAAAATAAATAAATCTAAAAGTTTTACATAACGGTTTACATACCATTGACGCTTGGGTGATTAAATTACTCCTAAAATAAAATGGATTCCGATATTACTAATAAAAGGAAACCATGATTATATTTTGAACTTTGCAGTATGTTTTGTGTACCAAAACAAAAAACCGGTTTATAAAAACAGTTACTCTATCAGGGACGTTGCAATTTACATTTCAGTATGAAAAAGTAAAACCTTAAATTGGTTCAGAAATGTCCATACATCACGATATATCATTGACACTATTATTCATATTTCTGGTTGACCAGGCTCTGGGTATAACCCCTGGAGGTCCAGGAGGTACAGGAGAAGGTACTCCAGGTACTCCAGCAAGACCAGATAGTTCTACTCCATCCTCTACTCCACCTTCTCCAGCAATATCAACTAAAACCATGGAACAGTTGGCAGAATTTGATTCTATTCTTGGTAAATATTTGAGATTAGTTTGGCAACCCAGCTTTGTCTGAGGATTTCCCACTAAAGTTTACCAAATCAACTTAGAATTTTTAAACAAGGCTCAGATCATTCCGGAGGTTCTGCCTAAGTTCCTTTACAAAATTTGAGGCAAATCGGTATTATACCTCTTCATTTATATTAGATACAGGGAGCTTTAAATTTCATGGGTATTAAATATAGGTGTTCATGGGTGCTGGGTAGATGTTTTCTTATAAAATGTGCCTTGGATTCCCCCCTCCCCCTTTTTTGAAAATGATCAACTTTCTATTAAACATGTATTATGCAGTAAGAAAATGGGTTAACTGTAGTTAATTCCAAGGTTATAGTGCATAAATATGAGAAATCTTATCTAGGTCTAAATTTTGCTCCGGGCCGATATAAATGTTGGGTTATTCTTTGATAATAAAATAATAATGTTTAGAGAGTAAATTCAAGACTGAGATTAGTGAACCCAGTTCTCAATCCCAGCTCAGCCATCTTGGACTATCTCCTCCTACTGCTGGAGCTACTCCGTCTACCGGAGCTCCTGGAGCCCCTGTAGCTACTGGAGCTACTCCTAAAGGAGTTCTTCTTCCAACCTCTCCTGTGAAGAAGGAGTTGCTTCCTGCTGATAAGGTGAACACTTTAGAACACTGATATTTGACATAAATAACCGATGCCTAATTCCCTGAGAGGCTTCTCACTTAAAGGGAATGTAAACGGAATTGCAAGAGACCTTCCATTCATAAAGAGGCATTTCCGATTCACAACGGTACCCTTGAAACCTTTGTCCGGACAACAATGAGGTATGATGACCACATTTGTACAGCTAAACATCGAGTGCCAGGAGACTTCAGTGTACGGTGTACACTGTACTCTCCGTGACGCGGTTTCTTGGCACTTCCCGCTACAAAATCCTTGATCAAGCAAAGGTTTAAACCGGACATGCCACTTAATGGAATGTCACTTGAACTTACGATTACAGTCCCTTTAAGTCTTTATTTGAATACTAATTTAAAGTAAACAACGATTTTTGTGTCAGACATTTATTTCACTAGACACTATTATTGTTAACATTTTTCTATTGAACTTTTAATTAGGGATTCCTGACTAATTTTATAGATTCCTTAACGAACCGTGTTTAAATTCTAATGATTTCTTCTTGGAGAAAGTGGAAACTTTTAACTGGGGTTTTCTGAAAACTAATTTTTAAATATTTGAAAAAGTTTGTTTTTAAATTCTTTCTGTTGTTGCAGGTTCAGGAGGATCCTGAGACACTGAAACGGATCCAGGCGATCCTTGATAATTACAACAACCAGGGAATTGGAACAAACTTATGTTAATCTCTCATGTTCTTGAACTCCCCCATCCCGTCTTTCCCCCTTTTCTCCCTCAACCCTCCTCCATCCGCCTTTCCCACACACACCCCTCCATCCGCCTTTCTTAAAGTGATAGCACTCCCTCCCTCAACCTGTTCTCGGAAATATCCCAAATCTAAATTTTTCAATAATTTTTCTTTTTTTCTAAACACATGAAAAGTTTTAACATTACCAGTTTTCATTACTCGAATGTTTACAAAACTTTACAAAATTGTCAAAAAATAAAATAAAAATTTGTTTTAGTTTTTATCCCTTCACTTCGTTGATTTTCTATCAAAAATATGTTCACACATTTCCATTCGATAAAGTAAACAACATTTCTTTAGATTCTCCTCAAGGTTCTGGATTAACATCAGGTTCTTGTTCTCCGAATAGTATAGCTCCTCCCTCCGTCTCCCCCTCTCATCTACCCACCTCACCCTCACCTTCTCTCCCTCAAACCATCTCTATAGTCAGCCAACCATCGGCAATCTCCCTCATCACAAACTCACCAGTAAAACAGGTCAGAGTTAGTTTTTTTAATTTCAAGTTTTTTTTTTCCTTAAAATATGATTATTGATTATTTCTTTCTATTCTCATAATACTTCTTCCTTTTTTTCATCCGTGCTTTCATTCTTCAATCCTTCTTCAAATTTATTCATCCCTTTATTTCCTTATACATTCGTCCTTGTTATATTTATCCTTCCCATATTCATTTGTCCTTCCTGGTATTCATTCATCCTTATAATCATTAATCATAGTTCCTCATATCCAGTCATCCTTATATTAATCCTTCCTAATATTCGATCATCCTTAACCTAATATTATTTATTTTCAAATTCATCCTTAAATATTTTCAATAGTCATCCTTTCAATAATTAATTCATTTTGAATTGCTTGAAATATTCGTTTTCAAAGTCATCTTTAATTTTACTAATTCTCCTCTCCATGATTAATTCATCGCTTATAAAATTGCCTGACCAGGATGCGCTGAGTTTAGCTATAGCTGAGATCAAAGAAACCTCCGACACTAATCATCAACTACAGCGGGAAATAACTGTGCCAAACCAAACTTCTTCTATCCAAACCCAACCAAACCAAACCCAACCAAACCAAACTAGACAAATCAGACAGGTAAGTTCTATTACGGAATATGTAACGTTAATATTTTAATAAAAGCGGTACTCATCAGTCATCAGCCAACTCAAAAATAAGAACTTTCTCTCCATTTTCCGTAGCTGCCCCTAAATTCTTTAGGGTGAGTCATTTTCTAGGGTTGAGCCATTGCTTCACGGCTCACCCTTGTATCTGCCCATAGACGCATGTACACAAGACAATGTTACCCACAAAGAAAATACGACCTGAAAATGTTAAAATTAAACGTTTTAAAGTTGGAATTTGTTTTGTGACTTAATTATAGTTGCCCCTTGTTCTTAAATTTAAGATTTGGCTTTAAAACAGCAGTTCGTTCTCAATGTTCTTAATATTCGGGGGGGGGGGGGTTCTTGATGTTTAAATATTTAGAGTTTAATGAGTAATTGCCCCCAGGCTCTCACAACAAATGGCAAAAAAAAAGAGAGAAACTAGAAATACAGAAATCTCCGAAATTCTTCATCAATCTAACATAAACTAACATGAAAAAATCATACTTGGACGTGTGTGCGAGAACATTTTGAATGGAAGCTGATGATTTTACAACATTTTTCTTTTTAGTATTTTTTAGGTGATTACTGAAATGATATTTTTTAAACATATTTTAAACATATTCTCTACAAAAGTACAAATTTTTAACTTCCAAAGAAAATATTTAAATTTTTTATGTTTGAAGAAGTAAATCTTTTTGACAAAAAAGAGAATTTTTTATTTTTATTTTTTTCCAATTTTTGTGGGATTTAAAAAATGGTCTTGAAAATCTAAAAATTTTACGATATCAAAAACATGTTCTTAAAAATCCTAATTTTGTTCTTAGTTTTTCGCAATATTTGTTAGAACAATCTTAAATATGATCTTTATATTTTTTATAAACTTTTTCCGACCAAAAGATATGGCACAGAAAGTATAAGAATAATGCTAAGACTCAAAAAAATTCTGTAAAATTGTCGCAGAATTCTCAATCGTTGTGAATAACCCTGTATGTTGACTGGTTGTACTGGGCAATCACTAATCGTGTAGAGTGCAGAGTGCGGAGTGCAGAGTGCAGAGTGCGGAGTGCAGAACAATGTTCTGCGACCATTTTAAAGAAAATTGCCATGTTATATAAAAAATATTAGCCTATCCGCTTCTTCTGACTGTTATTGGAAACAAGACATACAATGAGAATTAAAATGTTAAAACTAAGTAATTCCAGGTAATGGTTCCTAGCGGGCTGGCAGCTAGCCTCGCCGGTCAGCGTCTCATGTTGGTCAACAGTGGGGACGGAGGACGAAGAATGTTGGCTGTGAGACCTGTGCTGGTCAGCTCATTAGAGGCCGGGAACAGGTATTGGTTCGACGCTGAAAACTGATTTTTTTTCTTTAATAAAGGAACCGTCAATGATATTTAAGTGAGCATCCATTTTAAACGTTTCATGCCCGATTCAAAACCGTGCCCTTTAATTTGAGTTCAAGTTAACATGTATAAGATACTATTTTTCAATCTAAATATTGATTTAAGATGAAGGATTATCTATTAAATAACTTGCGGATTTATACGCAAAGACAATGGATGAAATTGATCTAAGGAAAAACACGAAAAATATTTTGAAAAACTTGAATTAACTTCCAAATTTGTTCAGTCCTGGTGCGGAGCCAAGGGTTACAACTCTGAGTAGTGGAAGTATTGGACTTAACTCTAGTATTGGAGTAAGTAGCGGACTCAACACAAGGTTCTCAATACCTATCACTGTCTCCCTACCCACCTCCCCGCTACCCGTCAGCATGGTCAATCTTAACAGTCTTGACAAACCTCTTCCACAAGGTACATCTAGGGGAACAATAAGGGGACTTGTAAGGGGATTAAGGGTACACTAAAAACATCATGAGTCAGAGCTGAAAACTTTAGAATTGTGGATTTTGAAATCAATGCTTGATCTCTTATTTTTGTTAATCTGTAGATAGATATAGTCTTCTTTTTCATATCTAAGAAAGTGTCTAAAATTTAACCAATCACTGTGTCGTTACCATAAACCAAACAGCCATTCAGAATCTGGGAAATGTTGCGCAAAATCTTTAAAAGAACTGTTATTGGTCGGAAACTAGCAGGGATATCCAAAAAAGAGGATTAAGCAGAAAATCTAAAGTGTCCACAGTGGATATAAAGATTAAGCAAACGAAATTAAGGGTATCCTTTATCCAACACAAGAGCTTACAGCTCTGATCAATTTGGATTTAAACATAATTTTGTCCGATAAAAAAAATCCTAATTCTGTATATTTTTGAAAAAAAAAAACTGTTTTGCTCATTTCAATCAGTCCCTGAGAATTAGTACAGTACAATTTAGTTGAGTGAGGTACAGTACAGTACAATGCAAGCTAGCTCAACTTCTTCTTACATATTAATGAATTCAGATTTATAAGTAATCTATTTATAATTTCAGGACTGACTTCTCCTTCCTATGATAAAATGGAGATGGATCGGCCAGTTACTCCTGGACTAGGAATACCCATGGAGATGACTCCAGGACAAATTATGGAGGTAGTAACCATTCATCCTCAAAGACTAAAATAATATAATAATAAATGTGGTTAGTGTCCCATTCCTCGAACTATGATTTGATTTGATTTTGTTATATTTTTATCGATTTAGTTTTAATTTTCATCCTGCTTATTGTCTTCAGAGATTTTTTTAGGAATATAAATTTGCTTAAAAATGGAAGCAATCGTTCTATTTGAAACAATTATCCCAATGTTTTTTTTAAAGATTAACATACATTTTTATTTAAGGCTGAGATTTCCGCCACCCTTCTTGACAGCCCTGCTTCTCCCTACCATCTACCACACCCACTCTCCCCCCCTTCTTCAGAGGACAGGGTAGGGCGTGGTTCATTCACATACATTTCTAGGGCGGGCCAAAGTAACGTATCTAGATTTCTAAAAATATTGCGGAAACATCGGTTAATAAGAACCATCAAGTTTTTGTAATTAAATTATTTTTCATCTTTACATCTGTATTAATGTTTATCTATCTATCTACCTATCTATCTATCTATCCATCCATCTATTTATCTATCTATATTTACACCTGTATCAATGTTCATCTATATTTATCTATCTATCTATCTGTATATCTATTTATCTATTTATCTATTTTTAAGTTTGTATCAATGTTTATCTATCTATCTAGATTCTAAATATCTGTATCAACGTATATCCATCCAAATATTTATCTATATATCTGTATCAATTGTGAGCTAACTATCTATCTAGATATTTGTATAAATATTTATAAATCTATCTATTTATCTATCGATATATCTATAGCCATGTTTATTCAAGTATCTATCTAGATTTCTGTATCGATGTTTATGTTTATGTATCAATCTATCTAGATATATGTATCCATGTTTATCTAGTCTAGATATCTGTAATCATATGTTTCTATCTATCTATCTATTTATATATTTCTAGTCATCTGTATTGTATATCTTTATCTATGTTTATCTATTTATTAAAATTTCTGTATTCATTTTAATACATCTTAATATGTCTAGAATCTAGAGTGTAGATATCTGTATTTATGTCTATCTATCTAGATATCTGTATTAATGTCAATCTATCTAGATATCTGTATTTATGTCAATCTATCTAGATATCTGTATTTATATTCATCTATCTAGATATCTGTATTAATGTCCATCTATCTAGATATTTTTATTTATGTCTATCTAGATATCTGTATCCATGTCTATCTATTTAGATATCTGTATCCGTGTCCATCTATCTAGATATCTGTGTTTACGTCCATCTATCTAGATTTCTGTATTTATGTCCATCTATCTAGATATCTGTATTTATGTCTATCTATCTAGATATCTGTATTTATGTCCATCTATCTAGATATCTGTATTTATGTATATCTATCTAGATATCTGTATCCATGTCTATCTATCTAGATATCTGTATCCATGTCCATCTATTTAGATATCTGTATTTATGTCCATCTATCTAGATATCTGTATCCATGTCTATCTATCTAGATATATGTATTTATGCCCATCTATCTATATATCTGTATTTATGTATATCTTTCTAGATATCTGTATCCATGTCTATCTATCTAGATATCTGTATTTATGTCCATCTATCTAGATATCTGTATTTATGTATATCTATCTAGATATCTGTATCCCTATCTAGATATCTGTATCCATGTCCATCTATTTAGATATCTGTATTTATGTCCATCTATCTAGATATCTGTATCCAAGTCTATCTATCTAGATATATGTATTTATGTCCATCTATCTAGATATATGTATTTATGTATATCTTTCTAGATATCTGTATCCATGTCTATCTATCTAGATATCTGTATCCATGTCCATCTATCTAGATATCTGTATTTATGTCTATCTATCTAGATATCTGTATTTATGTCCATCTATCTAGATATCTGTATTTATGTCCATCTATCTAGATATCTGTATCAATGTCTGAGTCTATCTACTCCTTTGATTCGGATACCAGAAAATCTAATATTATTAGGTAAGAAAAAAGTCAAAACTTTTAAATTCTTTTTAATCCTATTTTTGATCATATTTTTAATCCTATTTTTGATCATATTTTTAATCCTATTTTTGATCGGTATTTTACTTATCATAAAAAATCCGCCTTGCAAATTGTAGAACCTAAATTCTGACTTTGTTAGTTAACTTTTGGATTGTAGTGGGATGTGATTTGATTTGATTACTATTACTATTGTTATTTTTAGTTTTAAATTATTACCATTTTGATTACTTTTTTAGAAAATCATTTTGTCACCAGTTGATAATTGTTGAAGCTATTTCAAATTCGGTTATTTTAGAATTAACCTACCCGTGACACCGAATTCAGAAACTGACGAAACTAAATCTGACAATTCCGGAGACCTAAACACCAGACCGGAAGTTATGTCCTTGCAACCGGAAACGATGTCTCCCTCCCTTGAATCCCTTATCTCAAACCAACCCAAATATGACGCCAAAGACATAAATCTTCCAGCTGTTAGTGAGCCTGGAGATGACATCTCGGAATCACCTGGCCAAGAAAATGACGCTTTTGACATCTTAAAAAACGGAATTAAAAGGTAAGAATCAGTTGCACAACGGAACTGTTTAAAGCTCTACAGAGTTCTTCCAAATAATTTTAAGAACCCTTAATACAAGCCGGGGTTACTAGAGTAACCTTAAGCTCTTTAATCAAAACTGCTGCATAATTTAGTTATCCGTTTTCAGATAGAAACGAGGATATCTAATTTATGCTATTCTTCAGTTCCTTTAAGAACATCATTTTGAAATAATGTCTTCACTCCACAGTTCCTTTAAGAACATCATTTTGAAAAAATGTTAACAGTTCCTTTTAGAACATTATTTTGAAATAATGTCTACAGTTCCTTTAAGAACATTTTTTTGAAATAATGTTTATAGTTCCTTTAAGAACTTTTTTTTTGAAATAATGGTTATAGTTCCTTTAAGAACATAATTTTGAAATAATGTTTACAGTTCCTTTAAGAACATCACTTTGTAAGTGATAAAAGAAAATGTCAGTATTTTGGGTTGGAAAAGGAAATTATATTTTTAACGTTTTTTAATAGGGAACGTCGCGCTTCCGCTAGACAAACCAAACCGGAAGTAAAACCCTCAGAACCCAGACAAAGCCGCAAAAAATCCGGCCGCTCGGACGAGCTTCCGCAAATGAAGAAGCTTAAACGCGACGATACCGAGGATGAGCGGATACAGGATTTATCCTCTTCCGGTCCTCGAGTTAGTCAGAGAAATAGAAATTCGAAACCATAATCTTTCTCCGTTGATACAATTCGAAACCGTAAAAAGTAGCGTAGGAAAAATTAGATAAAAAGTTTCTTCCTGGAAGAATGAAAATTTTCTGTTTTGTTTTGTTTTGCATTTAGAGTTATTCCTGTTTGTACATTTGTCTTTTGTTGGTTTTTTGAAAATATTCCTTTAAATACAGTGAGACCCATAAACCTGTGAACAAGGTAGACGTCATTTAAGCGATCTTATCTGTGTTTAGTCATGTTATGAAATCTTTATTGAATTGGGTCTGTGTAAACTGCACAACTGCTGTATTTCATGTTCTAACAGTCGTCTTCATATTCCAGAGTTTTATGGGTCTAATTGTCCAGTTTGTCGAGGCTTAAAAATTATATAAAATTTTACTGTTAACATTTTCAATGATATATATTTCTATGAATCAAATAATACTCATAATACTTAATAATTTCTCGAGGATTTTAACAACTTTACAATATAATTGCCAAACCAAAGTTATAAACTTTTCTCTTTCTAAAGAAGAAACTTAGTTTGCGGATTGCATATGCTATGATAACCATAATGCGTATTGTGTGTGCTATTATTAGCTACCAATCGAATGACGCAACCAAGAAATGTTTGATTTGTAAGTAAATTTATTTGGTAATATCCCTTTATACCCCCTCCCTCCCCCCCATCCCTTCAAATTTTAATAATTACCTACAATTTTCTTCAATTTTTTCTGGTTAGTAGAGAAGTGTTTGCCCTTCTACTGTTTACTAGTCCAACACCTCAGCTTCAACCAAACCAAAAATGCTCAGCCAATGTTAGGGTTTGTAAATTTTCCGAATTATTTTTATTCGGAAATGTATTTCCGGTTCCGGTCGATGGCTGCCTTTTTTACGGAACTCTTGTAAATGTTAACCAGATTTCCGGCTTTGTAACTTAGGTTTCCGGAATAAAGTTTCGAATAAAACCCATACGGAAAAGTTGGAAACCCTAGCCAATGTTTTATATTCGTAGCTTCTAATTTTCTACCTTTAGATATTAACGTTGTTCACAAATTGTATAAATGCTAATAATGTTTTATGATTCAATGTTTTTTATGTCTTTTCTCCTCTTCAGGGTTTTCTACCTTAAACAATTAAAATGTTCTCGCAATTTTATTAAAAACTATATAAAAAAATACTTCAGTTTTTTAATAAAAAAATGTCGTCTTAAGATACTAAAATTTAAAAGGTTTAATACAGGACAAAATTTTGCTTGACATGTTAGAACCATATATTTTCCACTTTGCAAAAACTTCCTTTCTTAAAAATATAAATTGCAATATTTTTCTATAAAAAGTTGTGTCTCTGAAATTGATTATTAAATGTGCAATTATTACCCTGATATTGTTTTTGATCTCACTTTCTATGTTTCTGATTATCTGAACTTTCCCAAAGATAAAACCTGTTAAACCGGTATTTTCCAGTAAATTATGATCTCGTTATCAACTGTTCTAGTCGCAGTCTCCTTTAGTTCTTTTCAGTTTCTCTCTACACTCGTCAACCATGTTAGTTTGGGTTCATATTCACCCTTAGATGTTTATGTTTTGTTTTCTGAGATCCACTGGGTTTTTATGCCACTTTTTAAATTTAAAAATGTTAAAAATAAATTACTAAATCTAAAACCCCGGAAAGATAGATTTTTGAATTTGTGCTTTTAAGACATTAAAAGGATTTAAAATGGAAAATGTTTACTCTCGATTTTTCCAATCTTAAATTTGTCTTTTCCTAAATATTTGCCTTTTCTGGTATTGTTCATGCCTCTCAGAATTTCTACCAAATCAACTTCATAATAATATTTTTTAAGGTGTTTTGAAGACTCGGATCTCAGATTTCATGCTTCAAGAGTGTATAAATATTTCCTTAAAAGGGTGGCGGGGGGGGGGGTTAAAGTTGATTTTTAAAATTTTAACCAATAAGAGCGACAACTTTCTTATTTGTTTCGCACTTCAAGAATCAAATAATATATGGAGTGTTAAAAATCAAACTTAAGTAAGTTTTATTTTTTCATTTAAATATGATTAAAACTATCCAATTAATTCTCAATCTCCCACGACATTGGAAACTTATTTTTTTTTAAAAGAAAACGCCATGAAATTATATTTATGGCGACATTTTTGGGATGTTTATACACTTCTGAAGTATACTTTATACCTAATATTTTAACATAATAAATTTTACATTGTACATTAACTGGAAGTAAGCTAAACAACACGCGGGGGGGTATCTCTCTCTTTGGTTTTTTATTTCAAAAAGGAGCTGTTGGGTGATTTCAAATGAGTTTTTATTATAAAAGTAACAATCCTGAGCTAGAATAAAGTAATACATTTTTACGTAAAAAAATCCTAATTTTCTTTGATCAAAAGAATATTTTTATCAAGGTTGCTCTTTCAAAGGCTACCTGATTGCATCTGGCATAACACTTTTCAGTGGAGACTCGCTTATCAATACTTAATAAGTTCCAATAAATGTAAAGCCATGTTAATAGAGTTTATAAAATACAAATTTACTTTAATATGCAGGGTTGCCCACAAAGCATGAGATTTTAGAGACGATTGTATGGAAATTATACTTTCTCTGCATCGATTAAATAAGCCATCAAATTACAATATTGAAGACAGAAGTCTTATATTAACCTTGCAATCGTGGGTAACCCTGTATATTTGCCGGCACTAAATTAAATCTTTTTAAAATAGAAATTCAAATTTTTATCATTCTAGTTTTTGGGGTATTTTGCTGTTAACATGTTGTTTAGCTGCTTACAGGTGTAGTAAACTGTCTGTTATTCGTGTAATATTTTTATATATCTTGAAACTATATATATATATTTATATATAGTGGGATTCCATAGATCTATTCTGTAATAGTAATAAAATAATAATTTTCATCTTTTTTTATTTTCGAAGATATGACTTCGATTAGATTGTCATGAGATCATTTAAATGGTTAAATGGTAGATAAGTGAAATTGCTGTATTCATCATTGACAGCTGATTTATTAGGAAAACTGTTTATGTTATGATAAAAGTATAATTAATAGTAAGAAAAGAGAATAGAATATATATTAGAGTCCCTTTCAGCCTGAAAGGGAGTTCAAAGTGTACAAATCATGTAATTGTTCACAAATTATATGCAGTATAGTACATTAATACAGTATGTTCCCTAGACTATCCAATCCATTTCAATTTCGAATTATTTAAAGCTGTTAAATAACCTTTATAAAATGAATTAGGCAAATAAAAAACATTATTGATTTATAGTTATAACGGAAAATCATCGTTTGTAAAGTGAAGGGCATAGAGTCTATGTGAAATTATCATTGGTCAATTATGAAACCAGTCTATTTCATAATTTGGTTTTCTTTAAATGTAAATTTTAGATTTTCTTTAGAATGATGTTCCAGGGCCCAAAAGGTTATATAGCACAAATATGTGAAGTACACCTGTAGTATGGAAAGAGTACATCTTTTCCTATTAAATTCCACTCTAATATATATTCCATTCTCTTTGATAGTGAAGCATTGTGTTAATCATTTATAATTATTTTTCAAGAAATTTTTCTAACAGTTTACCACGAAATATTGGTTTAGCGTCGAAATGCAACAAAATTCATTTTTACGTTGATAAGTAAAAAGGTTGTTGGCTTGAAACTCTTGGAACCCAACTATTGCATATTAATTAACCCGTGTTAATACTTTACAGAATGAAGATTTAAGAAGCTTTAAACAAAATATTAAAAAATCGTGAGTTAACCATTAAATAAATTCAGTTTTAGAAATGTTTTAATCGGAAACATTTGTTACAGAAATTTAATGATAGGAACCAACAGTTTAATATTTTTTGTTTGCAAGACTTGTGCTTTTATCACAATAACATCACTTAGTTTATGATATTAATTAAGTAATCTGATGTTGACTTTAAAAGGAACAAAAGGCAGAATTTTAAGAATTTAAGCCGCGGCTTCAGAGTGTATTCAATGTTTTAAGATTTAAGCCGGCTAAGATTCATTAAGTTCGGACTCTAGTGTTTTTAACATTTTATTTTTTTCTGAATTGTGTGGAAAAGAGACGCATATTAGGTCCTTGTTTTTTTCTAGATGTATATTGTACAGGGCTAAGCACAAAAATGAGACCTAAGTGGTAACTGTACAAAGTTTACAATATCTTTTATTTATTGATTCCATGAAACTATTAACTAATTTCCTTCTTTGTCTTATTATCAAATCAGCAATTTACAGACTAAATCTTAGCTTAATATCCCTTGGATAGTTAACTTAAAAGATTTTGATGCCGACTTTAAAGGCTCACTACTGTAGGGCACACTTTACGTTTGAATTTTTAAATTATTTTTATAAGGATTATTGCACTGTAATTAATAAAATAAAAATATTTAACTTCTATATTTATTTACCATACTTATTTTGTATAATTACAGTAAATTCATTAATTAACTTTTTAAAGACAAAAATATTTCCAATAAATATATATTATTAATATTATAACTTGCTATTCCAGATATTGTGAACTGTTACTGCCTGACTGGTTGAAGGACTTGAAGAACTGATCCTATATCTCCATTCTTAGCTTTTAGTAGGCTGGTCAACCAGCCTCCTTCATTTCTAAACCCCATGTTCATCATGGCCTCAAGCGCAATCTGAATTTTTTGATCCGCATCTGGTGAAGAATTAAGAGCAGAAGTAGGGGAAGGAGTGGACGCTGGCGTAGGAGATGGAGAAGAAGCAGGAGTAGCTGAAGCAGTTGTCGTTGTGGGAGCTGTCGTCTTGGCAACTTTGTTTGTTTGCTCTGGAAGGTTCGGATAAATCCTGCCAATAGGATCAACATACAGAACCCTCACATCATTAAGTATGGTCCAGTCGTTCTCTTTTTCATCTTCAGAATTAGGATTTTGGTTGGATTTCACCTCAACATCTTCAGCAGTTTTGGCAGAGTGTTCTGGATTATTCTCCGCAGTGGGATCAGTAGCTGCTTCAGCATCAGAAGATTTCCTTTCTTCTGGGGATGTGGATACTTGCTTCTCTTCTTGATTCATAGTTGAGGAGCTGTTGTGGGTTGCACTTTCATCCTCGGGCACATCAACATAGACATTAAGATCCAGATTTAAAGGACTAAGCAAATGCATCAGCATTTCCTTTAATACGTTATTTGCAGCTTTTTTATCTTTCTGTGCTTCTCTTCCTTCAGCGCTATCTTTGCATAGACATGCTGATTCATAAGTTTCAATCTTCTTAGGGTTAAGATTTTTGTTTTCTTTAACTTCTCCAGGGTTATCAATCCTTTTCTTGCTTCCTTCAACTCTAATAGATCCCCAAGGAGTAACAATCCAGTACTTTTCATCATTTTTCTCTGTGCAACTTCTTTCTTCTATCTTTTCCTTGGGGGTTCCCATCATTTTAGGATTCTGCCCTCCAGTCATCATTCCTGTTGGGATACTTCCGGTTTCTTTAACTTCTTCTGTCTTTCCTGTTCCTTCCTTACTTACTTCCACTCTTATGGGTCCCCAGGGAGTAGCAATCCAGTATCCTCCAGTAGTAAAAGTTTCCTTATTTTTCCCATTTTCTATCTTTTTCTTAAGGTTTTGAGTTATCTTTGAATTTGGCCCTCCTGAAGTCATTTTAGATGGCATTTTTTTGGTTTCATCAACTTCTGTGTTTCCAGATCCATCCTTGCATCCTTCAACTCGTATGAGTCCCATGGGAGTGGCAATCCAACAAACGTTCTTATTTTCCTCATTGCTGTTCCTACCTCTGATTTTTTCCTTAATCTTGTTTCTTGCTTCCATTTGCTCCTGCAAATTCTGCTTTTTACCAAGGTTACACAAGTATTGTCTGCAAGAACCTTGTGGGCTGACAATCCTCATCATAGCATGGTTATTATGCAACTTCTTGTCCTCACAGTTCTGACAAAGATCATAATCTTGACAAACAAGACATTTAAACCTGGTTCCAGCTACTGATCCTTCACATCCGTCACAGGTTACACCAGGATGGAGTTCATGGGTTGAAGTCAGCTTCTCTCCCATAGCTTTGATGTTCAACTTGAGCAAAGTACCAGTCATCTCATTCAGAGCAATCATCAAGTCCTCGTTGTTAGAAATAGTGACATGATCACCATCGTTATCCGTCCATGTTATGCTGATCAGCTTGTTCTTCAGGACAGGGAATATGGAAATGATCTTCTGCTGCAAGAAGTCAAAATCTTTACATTTCTCGTTATCAAGCAGGAATCTTCTCACCTCAGGTTCACCTGCCTTCTCACTCTTGAAAGTGATTTTAAATGAAACACTTTCAGCCATTTTTGGTTTTGTAATGTATAAAGTTCAGTTAGGTTAGCTTTAACTTTGAAGTGTATCTTAAACTGACACATTACGATCAGAGTTGGTTTATATAGGCTTGGAATGATGAAATATTCTAGAAGAAATTTATGTTTCTCTCCTACGAATATAATAATCTAGAAAATTCTAGATGTTGTAAACAAACTCAGCTGTTACTCCAGCTAATGAGAGAGCACTGTCAGAGTTTTAGCCAATCATGGGCCGCTTGGGGGAGAAAATCTGACCAATAGGAGACTTTCTAGTGCTACATTACTTCTGCTAGTTAATAAACCGGGTGATCCAAACATGGGGGGGGGGGGGTTGCGGATGACGTTGAACCCCCATACCTTTTTATCCATCTTACATTTTCTTTCAATCCCCCCACCCACCCCCCGCCCATATGCACAGTTTTTCTTATTGGTTTCTCTCTCTATAAACCTCGGGTTAGGGATGGTAGTGTGTACTTAGGTTAATTTAAAAAAAAAAAATTTCATTATGAAAAATTTGGTTTGGAAAATTTCAAAACGGTCGTTTTGAAAAGACATCGTTTCAAAAAGAATCGTTTTCTCTTTCAAAACGAAAACAGTATTTTTTATCGCTTTCCATTTTATGAAACGAAAAACGATATTTTTCGTTTTCCGTTTTAAAAGGTGCACTGGAATTTTATCTGTAACCCATTTGATCTAAAAGTAATCCCGAATCTGACCTAAGTGGACTCTGATCTAAAAAAAATTTAGATCAAATTCCAACTTTTTTTTGGTTCGGACAAATGTGGAATTTGATTTAACCCTATTCCCGCTGGGGGGGGGGGTCAATTTGACCTCCCCCCTGTTGTTTTTTTATATAACTCAAAAAGTATTGAAATTGAAATATTGAAATTTTCTGACTTTTCCTACATACCCAAAACCCTCCCTTTAAGCCTAAAACCGGGCTTTAATACTAACTGCCTGAGTCCTCAGGCACACTGCCTGAATGACTGCTTTTTCCTGTAACAAACTAAATCTTTGTTTTGACCCACTTTCACTTGTCAGATTTTGATAAAATTTAGCTTTTTGGAAAGCCTATGACATAAGGAAACGGATTGCATAATATAGCTTTGCGAAAAAAAAATTGCAAATTTTTTGCAAACAACCTGTCAAAGGAAATTTGCACATTTTTAGTTTTTCTTGATTAAAAATCAGGTTATTTAAAATTTTGCAAAAATTTTTACATATTTAAAATGGCATGGTCAAGGGCTTTTCAAAAATATATAATTTTTCATTTTTTGGACAAATTTTTTTTTGCAAACATTTTTACTATATAACTGGATTTTGCGATAAAAAAATCAATTTTTGCAAATTTGCTAATTTTTTTGCAGATTCTAAAAGTAGAGCACAAGAGCTTTCCAATGATGTATCATTTGTCATATTTGAACATCAAACATGGGATTTAGAGGGGGGGGGGGGGAAATTGACCCCCCCCCTCAGCGTATCCTGGTTTTCAGCAGGGTTAGGGTCTAAAATCACCCCCAAAAGTATCCTGGTTTTCAAGTACCCCAGCAGGGATAGGGTTAAAACTTAATTTTTGAATACAAAATATTTTCTTGCTTAATGAATAATAATAAATATGTTTCCAAAATGTGTTCAATTAGATCTAAAATGTAAAGAATAAGAGTTAAAATATTTAACAAATAGCATCTTTAAACTGTAGGGTTCAGGTGGACTATGGAGAAGGGTAGAGCTTAGGTTAAATGCAAGTAGGGGTTAAGTATAGAGTAGAACCATACTCGATCCCTAACCTTCCATACTAATTCCTAACCTGAACCACCTCATCCATAACCTAAACCTTACTCTGCCTCTCTACCCCGAACCCTATTCATCTCTACCCTGAACCCTACTCAACCCTAACCTGAACCCTACTCATACTTAATCTAAACCCTATTCATCTCTACCCTGAGACCTACTCATCCTTAGTCTGAACCCTATTGATCTCTACACTGAACCCTACTCATCCCTAACCTGAACCCTACGAATCCCTAATCTTAACCCTACTCATCCTTAACCTGAACCCTGCTCATCTCTAATCTAAACCCTAACCTTAACCCTGCTCATCTCTAATCTAAACCCTACTCAACCCTAACCTGAACCCTGCTCATCTCTAACCCTGCTCATCTCTAATCTAAACCCTAACCTTAACCCTGCTCATCTCTAACTAAACCCTACTCAACCCTAACCTGAACCCTGCTCATCTCTAAACTAAACCCTAACCTGAACCCTACTCATACTTAATCTGAACCCTATTCAATATTCATCTCTACAGTGATAAACATGGTAAATAAAAACACACCAGTTTAAAACTTTTAATTGGAAACAAGCCGATGTCTTATTCAGACGATTTTCAATGATTTTGAAAATGGACCATAAGCAGATTGCTTTTATCCTTGTTTGTTAAATATCAGATATTTCACATAATTTCAAATTTTGTTCTTATTTATTTGTTTCGTGAAATATGCAAACTTTTGACTCTAACAAAAAGAAAGCAGAATACTTTACTGGCTTAAAAAAAATTTTATTTCTGATATTTCTCCATTGATTCTGAAGCAGGAAATGCACAAGTCACTTAACTGCATGGAAACCACAAATAAAAATATATATATAAATATCAATCATTGTTATGCCAAAAAATATACATTTTAAAGGAATTGAGTCTTTGCCACAAACTCTGGTTTTCTATTTTTTTGCAACCCAATGTTGTAGACCCTAGATATTTCAAACTATGAATTGCGTTAGATCAATTAGAATCTAAGGTTGAAATATCTAAGATTTGCACTTTGTTTCAACCAAATAGAGATTAAAATATTTGAGTTTGTGGCAAAGATTCAATTCTTTCTCAACCTTTAAATAAAGCAAAATTTAAAATGATATTACACCATGTTGTCATACAACAAGTATGCAACTTGAGAAGCAGATTCAGATTTTAAATTCGGTAATGATGATGGACCAAACCTCTTTAGAGTAAAAAAATAGATGTTTGTTCCACATTTATTGAAAATATATTTCGGTCTGGGTTGGCCCTCGTCAGTTCTAACGATATATAATCATCAAAATTGAAAAAATAGTTAAAAACTACAAGAAAATAAACAAATCAAAAAATATTATTTAAAAAAAAAAATTGGGCTGTGAAATAGACAAAAGGGAAACGAACTCAGATCATGAGATGGAAAAAAGATAATTTGCAAATATTCACTTTAAAAAATGTTTTATTCCTTGAGATTTTTTCTGTCACAAAGATTAAAAACAAACTGTTTAGATGTGTGTGTACTGTATAGAGTAGTGGTGGAAGGGGTCGATCTAATTATAACAAACTTTTACGTAAATCNGTTATAGGGAGGGTATTTAAACCTTATAAAGAATTGGACATAAAAAAAGATACTTATTTACAGTTTACAATTAAATAATAAAATTAAATTCAGAATAGTGACAAAAATAGAAAATAAATCCTTCAGATCTCACAAAAATAAATGTCCTCTGGAATAGGTATTCACAGTATACCAAGGCTAGTTTTTCGTTTAAAAAGGAAAACGAAGTTTTTCAGTTTTTCGTTTTAAAAACGGAAAAAGAATCTTTTAAAGTTTTTGCTTTGAAACGAAAAACGATTTTTTCGGATTATCGGTTTAAAACAAAGAATTTTATTTCAGTTTTTTGTTTTGAAACGTAAAAAACGCTTTTTTTCAGGCTTTCGTTTTGCAATAAAAATATAGTTTTTTGCCTTTTTCGTTTAAATTTTTTTCAATCAATTTCCGTTTTGAACATTTCAAAACGATCGTTTTGAAAAAAAAATCTTTTTGTTTTGAAAGTAAAACGATTCCCAAAATTGACACCCAAAACGGAAATCAATATTTTTGAAAGAAAATAAATCCTAGACGATGCCTAATGAAAAAGATTCACATTTTACAGAAACGAGCAATTCGATTAATTGATAACTCAAAAGCCACCTCTCATAGTGATCCTCTTTTCCTTAAGTATAAGATTCTAAAGATTAATGATCTGGTAGACTTTAACCAAGCTATATTTATGAAATAAATATACACATAAACTTCTTCCTGCACCGTTTGAAAATATTTTTAAAAAGCTCGAAAACTTTGAAAGATCTCCAACTTGATATTCTCAAAATGTGCTCATTACAGTATTTACCATCAAGCTCTCTTCTTAAGATGTGGAATAACCTGCCTTTGACTTAAAAAGAAGCAACTCTCTAAGTATATTTAAAAATAGACTACTAAATTCTCTTTTTGAAAATTACATGACAATGTGTTATAAACCGAATTGCTGTTCATGTAAAACTAAATAGATATGTTTTAATATGCTATGATATTTGTTGTGTACATGTCAGAAAATTACTTTAAACTCTAGTCATTCGAATTAATGTACAAACTATTTTGCATAAGATAAATTCGCACCCTGATCTCTAATCGTTCTCCATAAATCTATTTAATTGAAATGTTTTGTTATTATTGTTAAAATTAGGTGGAAAAAATAATCAAAACAGCCAAGAGCTATTTTCCACCTAATTGCTTTATACTTCTACTGTTAATATAATCATCAATTTGTAATTGTAAACTCGTTCTGTACACAGATACATGTATTTTAGCAATAAACTTTATCTTATCTTATCTTATCCTTAGTTAAGACACCGTGAATTATTCTGGTTTTCAAAATTTAATATTTTCCAGTCTAATGCATATTTTCTACCTGTGTTCTTCAGTCGCCGACTAACACTTGATATTTTATGAAGTGTGACAAAAGCAAAGATTGAAAACCTAGCGGAAACTTTAAGATTCAGGAGAACCTAGAGGAAACCTTTGAGGTTTAGGAGAACCTAGAGGAAACTTTAAGACTCAGGAGAACCTAGAGGAAACTTAGAGGTTTAGGAAAACCTAGAGGAAACTTTAAGATTCAGGAAAAACTAGAGGAAACCTAGAGGTTTAGGAGAACCTAGAGGAAACTTAGAGGTTTAGGAGAACCTAGAGGAAACCTAGAGGTTTAGGAAAACCTAGAGGAAACCTAGAGGTTTAGGAGAACCTAGAGGAAACTTTAAGATTCAGGAAAAACTAGAGGAAACCTAGAGGTTTAGGAGAACCTAGAGGAAACCTAGAGATTCAGGAGAACCTGGAGGAAACCTGGAGGTTCAATGGAACCTAAGGAAAACCGGAAGATTTAGGAGAACTTAGAGGAAACCTGGAGGTTCAGTGGAACCTAAGAAAACCTGAAGATTGAAGAGAACCTAGAGGAAACCTAGAGATTCATAAGAACCTAGAGGATTTGTATCTTTATTTTGCCATTTTAGAAATAATAATTCATACAAAAAATGGTTTCGTGTGCAATATTACTCGTTCTAGTCCTAGCGGGCCTAACTTCGGCAAAAAGGTAAAAAAAAAATATTTTTCATAAATTTAGATTTATTTGTACTAAGAGTGTACAAATTCTACGTTGCCATCTATTGCACAGAATCTACTTGTTATTATTTTATCAAAATGTTATCTAAATATTTATTTATATTATTTAAATTTATAAAGAATATATATATTTACATATATTTACGTATACATGTGTACATTTACTCAACCAGTTTACAAAATCTTTGACTTTAAAATTACTTTATTTACTCTTGGGTATGAAATTTGATGGAGGCTATTTTTAATAAATTCCATCATCCATAAGCCTTCCCTGGGATCACGCGAGGTCCCACAACAAATTTGGGCCCGATACATATTAAACTCGATGACATATTTTTAAAGCGAATGACCTTTTTTTAGAAAAAAATCCAATGATTTTTGGAATCTGACAGATACTCGAATTTGGGAGAATTCCTCAGCGGAAAATGAGAATTATGAAGATGGAACACCGAGAATATTCAATTCTCTTTTCCCTCCAGGATCCACTTTTAGTGTAAGTTTAATTTTAAATTTTTTACATTTTATAAATTTTGCAGATCATTTAAACCAATTATCATCTTTTTTTTCTTACATTTTGTAACATTTTTCAGCTATTTTTTGAAATTGCCGGAGTGCTGTTTCCTGTAACTGATACAATATCACAAGAATTTCTAATAGGAAAAGTCGATAATTTTTTTTTGAAATTGCTGGAGTTTTATTTCCCGTTACCGGCAATATTACTCAAAAACTCAAAAAGCTGGGCAAAGTTCCGTTAACGAAACGGAGGTTTTCGAAAATTAACGGAAGAGTCTGTTAACGAATGGCAAAAACCGTTAATTTTTAAATCAAAAACGAAAAAGAAACGTACGGGTCTTAAAAAACGCTAACTTTCGGGTTTTTGGCTAAAATTGCATGAACTTTTTGAAAAATGTAAATTTATTTTGATGTTTTCAAATGACGTCTTTAGCCCCCCCCCCCCATATTTATATGATGGAACTTTTAAAGAATTTTTTTGCAATTTAGTGACGGCTTGTGCCGTTATTCCAATTTGATAAACTGTTCACGACTTTTTTATGGAAATTTTAGAGTTTTGGTGAGCTGTTAAAACCATTAATACTACAAATAACCATTAACGGCTCGCATCGTTAACGATTTGATAAACCGTAAACGATATTTTTTGGGGCTTAGCGCATTTTCTGAATGGCTAATGCTGTTCATTGCAAAACAAAACCGTAATGGCATAATATCTTCCGTTAACTCTGTTAATAAAATTGAGATCGGTAAATTTAAAAAAACGGAAAATTCCGTTAACGAAACGAAAGTTCTGTTCTTAATTTTAAAATTAACGGCTACCTGAATTTTTCTTATTTTAACGGTTGGAACTAACCGTTAACAAAACGACTAGAAAACGTTGGAATATGCCCAGCTCATACTTGTCCTTACTTTTTATGACGTTTTAATTAATATGCTTATTAATCTTTCTACCAATAATTTAGATCCACATGTTTGTTTTAGTCTGAAACACCTTTTTTTGTTGCTTTTTCTGATAGTCCTTGAAAGAACAATCGTCAAAAAAAGAATTTCTCATTTTTTATTAAATGGGCTGCCTTTTTTATTTCAAGAGATCTTCCAATACTTTATCTGATAAATAATCAGATGGAAAATGTCATTTCAAGCTTGAAAAGTGTTTATTTCCGAACCAAATTTCCTCCTTTGTTTCTGAGTTAGAAATGCGCGCAGATTAAAAGGAATGGTATCATTGAAAGTAAGCAATTTTCACAGATGTATTTTTGACCAGGCAGAGCATCGGAGCAGGGGGGGAAGGCGACCCACACCTGTTTTACCTCCGACCCGCAAATCACGTCACAAAATGGCATTTACAGGCGCGGCATGCGCTTACCCATATAGACTCCGACCCACGCCCATTTTCCTATCCGGCAAAAATCTGTACCTTTGTATGTTATTGTTAATCATAGAACATAATTAATTTAGATTTTTCAAGACGTCATGCTATCTGTCATGCTATAATAAACTAAGTCAACATATTTTTGTTGGTGAGAGTAGAAGATATCTTGGCTGAGGGAAGCAATAGTGAAAATATATTGTAAAAAGTGCTTTTTTTATAATTTACTCTTTATCTAATTTATAGGGGCAGGCAATAATCTTCTCATAAAAAGTGTTGAAACCATTAGATTAAATTATTTTTTTTCAAAAAAATGTCACAGTTTGGTGTGCGATTCAGTTAAAGTTTACCTTTATCCATTTTACCTCCGACTCAAAATTATGACGACATATGTTTACAGCATATTCTTAACTAAATTGCACGCCAAAACGCGACATTTTATCTAAAAATCCATTTTTTTTTAGCATTTCCAAACTTTTTTTTGATAAGATCATCGTCAGCGGATGTCTAAAATGCTGCATAATCTGTATTAGTTCAGACTTTTCGCCGGAAGGGAAAACGGGTGTGGGTTATTGTCTAGACGGGTAAGCGCATGCCGCAAAAACCATTCTGTGACGTCATTTGTAAATCTGAAGATCACTTAAAATTATATCTACAGTCCCTTTAATACGCAGACAAAATGTTTAAGCTTGAGTTCAAAAGAAAAATGTCGAATTATAGATTTTCCGTTTAAATACACATTCCTGGCTAATGCCGCTAGATCCACAACCACTTCTATCCAGGAGGTCTTAGGTCACCTACAGATGGCGTTCATGAGGTAATTAAGAGGTCTTAACTTCTGATCCATAAATGGACCCAGTCGGTTGTTCTTTTCCTTTGCGGTTAAGGATCGCTTCGGCGTGTTTACCATTCATTTAAATCCTTGAATTTAAAAAATGTTGGTGTCGAGAGAAGTCTTTGTGACTAAGCACTCTACTAATGAAAAGGTTAAGCCTCTGGGTTTTCAAATGAGAAAAAGTTTGATTTAGGAAAGAAAAGATGGTTTTTGGTTCAAAAGGTTCTGCATCGTCTAGATTAACTCTTTCGAACCGAGATTCAAGAATTGGCTTCGATCGAAAAAAAATATTTAAATGCTCCTTTCTTGAAAATCATATAATCAAAAAAGTTGCAGATTAGATTTTATGAAATAGAACGAATTAGTTGAACCATGTCGACTTAGTTAAACCACTTCTGTGACTGGTTCCAGTTGAAGTGAAGTGGTTCAACAATTCTACGTAGATCCTGAGCTGAAAACTTTAGAATTGGAAACTTTTATTGCTCAATCTGAGTATCCACTGTGGACACTTTTAACTTCAACTTCTTCTGCCCTTTTTCTCTCTTTTTAGATACAACTACTTCGTTCCGACCAATGAGAGTTATTTAATTGATTGCGCGCAAAAATTTCAAATTTTCTCAACTTCTGATTGGATTTTCGGATTTCTCAAAAGGGTCCTCTGATTGGTTGAAATTTATTCACTTTTCTGGATACAAACTAAAGATTAAATTAAAGATGAGATCAAGCATTACTTTTGATATCCTTGCAATTCAAAGGTTTTCAGCTCAGGTCAACCTATTCTCGCTGTTTATTAAACTTAGGTTCTGATTCTTCATTCCAATATTTTAAACAACTAATCTTTTTCTCTCGGTGCGAAAGGGTTGATCAGGATGTCTGAAAAGAAATCAAAATTCCAATTTTTAGTTCTTTTTCGAGTTAGAGGTTCCGCTATTCTATGGTCCTGGATTTCCTTTACTCGGGGGCTTAATAGGAACATAAAGAATTTAAGAACATACTTGTACAATTTTTGGTAAAAATACACGAATTTAACATTTCACGAATTGGGTATTTCATTTTTGGTTCGTTTTTAAACAGCAATTTCGTTAAATGTTTAATTTTCATTTTGTTCAAAAGTTGAAATATTTAATTTAAATTCTTCCGGTGTGTTCAGATATATTTTTGACTCCCCCCATCCCCCTCCCGGACATAAACCAAATCGGTCAAATGCTGAGAAGATCAAGTATCATGGATAACCTATCCCAGACTTTTGCAGGGTAAGCGCTATCATGGATTAATCAGGATTAGCTAAATCAAAAGAGGAGGATGAAAAGAAGTTTATGCCACAAACTCAAATTTTTTAATCACTATATATTTGCAACCCGATGTCGTAGACCTTTGGTATTGGGTTACCCTGCCAGGATGAAACGGTAAAAACGACTTAAAAATTTTAAGATTTGACGATTATGTCTTAAATAAAGCCTTTTAATGGCCGACTAAATGATTTGGCAAAGAAAGTTTACAAGTTTATGGTTGCAGGGAATCATGAATATAAGGAAACTGTTTCGCAACTATCGTAGTTGCCCTAAATTTGAATAAGGTTGTACCATGTGGTGTTCCTACGGATCTGACCGGAAGCTGCTCTGCCCGTAACTCTGTCCATACTAAATCCATGACAAGTCTTCAAGCTTTATTGTACAGTTCAATCTACAAAATTTAATGATATATAGATTGAAAAAAACTATTATAAGCCACAGAAAAAGCATTAAGCAACACACGTTTACTAAATCTTACTAAATCTAAATCATAAAAAAGAACAAATTCTAATTTTTTAACCCTTCACTGTAAATATAAATCAGCAATATCTTTTAAAATTTGTTTCTTAATTTAATTTTTTT